AACCTTTGTGGGAAGTACCCGAAGCGGAAGCTGGCTGTCGCCAGGACTGCCATCGCTTCCTTAATTTATTTTAAATAAAATAGATATTATGGGATATTAATTAAATTAGACTTTCTTTATAGATAAATAGTATATTTTAATTAAAGGTTTATTTAGGGCGTTCTAAATATTTAATAAATGTATTTTTATTCTCTTTATACATATTTATTTTTTACATTTATTAATTATAGTAGTATAATGAATATTTAGTAATTATAATTATTATAGTATTTCCAATTATATAAGGGTAGGATTAATTACGTATAGGGAAGGTTTTATAGGGGTAGTCCTAAAAACATATAAATATTATTATTTACTTTGAGTTTTTATATAAATTTGTAATTATATATAGTATATTATTTAATAAAAGTAAATTGTTTATAAGGAATATATAAGTTACATTAATAATTAAAATGAGTATTTCTTACTTTTAAAACTTACCTTCCTTTATTAATTAAAATAATTTTGATTACGTTTTGGCATTTTTTTTATACTGTGGTATTTATAATTTCCGCTTCTATTCGCTTTATAAATATATTTTTAAATTCGATGGCACGTATTAATTCTCTATTTCTTTCTTTAATTCATATTTTTCTTACCCTTTAGGCCGATATTCGTAGCTATGGGGTAAATATTTAAAATAATTAACATCTAATATATACGTTAAAGTTTTAACAACATTTTATTAATTTATCCGGGATATATCTAAAATTAATTTTGAAATAGTAATATTAAAAAATATAGCCTTTACAAAGGGTTAATAGTTATTAAAGACTTAAAATAATAATATAATTAGGGAATTGTTAAATATTAATTCTATTCTATTTTATAGAGTAGAAATAGAAAGAAGAATTAAAAGACGAGGAAGGGTTATTAAATTAAAGAAAATTAATACCTTTTTAATTACCTTTTCTATTATAAGCGTAGTATTCCTCTTCTATTTGTTTATATTAAATTAACTATTAATATATTAAATAATTTCTTAATTTATTATTAATTTACTATCTACTTTTATTATATTACATTTAATCAATTTATTAGTACATTGGTTCGATACTCGAATTTAATACTATATTTTATTTAAATCTATTTATATATTATAAGATAGCGATTAAGTCTTATATTTTTACTAGTAAGTTAATTATAATATATTAGTAATGAATTTTGGATATATTAGCAATAAATTTTTATTAATAATTTACGCGTGAATATAAGGAAGTAATAATATAAACCGACTGCTCTAATAATAGGATTGTTAATATAGTATTTCGATTATATTAATATTTAATCGAAATATATTTTATATTTTTTAATTTATATTAGAGTAAGCGTAGTTATATTTAGAGCGAATAATTAGAATATATTTATTTTGAGCCCAATTCCGAATTTCGTTTTGCGAATTATTTATAGAATAATTAATTAGGGTTCTATTTAGAATCTATCCTAGATAAATCTAAAAATAATTATAAATAATTTTTAATTTAGGTTTTAAATAGTAATGAAGTTGCATATTTTTATTAAAGGTTAAATATATAAATAACCTATTTATTCATAAATACAATTGGGGATTATTTTTTATATACTTTTTAATATTACGTTTGAAGTAGATATAATAAAATTATACTATATAGCGAACGAAATATATGGTTTTACGGGGGTAGGAATTTATTTTAGAGATATGTACTGAAAAACTTATATTAATTAATTAGGGAATTAATAAAAATATATTATAGAAGGATTTTAGAATAAAGTAATATACTTATAATTACGTTAAAGTTTTAATTTATAGTAATATTATAAAGACCTTTTTTAAATAATTCCCGCTATTTAATTGTACATTTATAATTAATTTCAAAGATTTTAAATACTGTTTTAAAGGTAAGGGTATATATTTTTAGCGAATTAGTATTAGTAAGGATTCGGATAAGAGGGATCATTATTAGAATTAGAAATTTATTAGGAATAAATTCGGGATAATTTAATAATTTATTTTATTTTAATTATTTTAAATAGTAGCCTTAAATAATCTCTTTATTTTTTATCTTAAAAACAATATTTATAATTTATATTTAATTTGAAGGATTTAGTAAAACTTTTACGAACGAATTCTATTTATTCTTTAAAAAAATTGATAATTATAAAATTAGTCCTATTATTAAAGGTTTTTTTAAATATATTATTAAACAAAAAAGTTATAATTTATTTTTAATAAATCTTAGATTTATGAATTTATACGAATATTTAGATTTTCGTATTTTAATTAATATTTTTATATTATAGTTTTAAAGTTCGAAATTCTTAAAGGTTAAGTAAAAGCACAATATATTTTAATTACCAATTAAATTTTATTAATATTATTAAGATTCGTATAAGTTTGGTTAACAGTATCGGTATTATGTTCGTTAAAAAATTACATAAAGTGGGGGTTACAGGTTAAAATCGTTAAATTATAGATTAATCTTTGATTTATTTTTAATTTATCGATGATATATTCCGGATTTATTTACTTTAAATTATATTGGGATTTATTACCCTTTTTAATACCCGTATTAATTTATTAATGATTTATTTAAGGGTTTTATTAGGAGAGAGGGGTAGGTAGGTATATTGATTATAGGAAATCATAACGATATATAAGATGGTTTTAGTATCGATTAGAATATAAAAATTAATAATAATATTATAATTTCGAATTTTAATAATATTATAGCCTTAAGCGTAATCGGTCTTTAATTTATTAATAATAAATCTTTAATAAATTTTAAATATATTAAGGAAAGATTTATTTATTATAGTACATTCCTTTTATTAATATAATATTCGTTTTAATATACATTTTAATATATAATAAATTAAGTATAGAGTCCTTTAAATACTTCTTAATAATTAGTTTAATATATGATTAATATTATCTAAAGTTATTAGGGAAGTTAGTAAAAAAGTGTATTCTTTTTCCCGGCTTTGAATTTCAATATTATAATCAATAGCGATTATAGCCGGTAGTTATTTAAATAGAAATAAATTTTAAATATAATACTAATTATTAAGAACATATTTTAAATAAAAATTAATTTTATTTGTATATTAAACGAATTTATATAATGATTTCGATTTTTTATAATTTTATATTTCTTAATACGTTTTGGTCGGTTATATTTAATTAATTATTGAAATAATATTTATAAAAGATAATTATTTTCGACTAAATTAAAACGATATAAAAGATAATTTAGGGATAAATTAAAGATAAATCTATATTTAATAATTTACTTAATTAAAGGGACTTCATTTTGTTGAGGCGGATTTTAAATAAAAGGTTTATAATTTTTTTATCGATTATAGTAGTAAACCCTTACTAATATATTTACTAATTTACGGGTTTAGATATTTATAGTATTTAATATTAAAGTATTTATAAGTAGTATAACGGTATATAGCGTTATTTAAGTAATTAGACAAAATATTTTTAGTAAGTATTTTCCTCTTTATATAATATTAGATTTATAATACTGTAAATTAATGAGGGATTAATTTTATATATATTACTAATTTATTTCAGATTATTTTACTTTATATATTTCGTCTTACGGGGCTTTAACCTAGGTCTCGGTTAAACCCTTGATATTTATAACGTAGGCTACGTTAAGAATGGAACATTCGGGGTATTTTAAAATAATTATAAGATAATATATTATTTAAATAAAATTAGAATATTAATTAATATTATTAAATGAAATAAGTATTAGGCCTATAATTTCAACCTTTATATAATTAATATTATTATATTATTAATTAATAAAAAATATATTTACAATATATTAATAATATATTAATTATATTTATTAAGAGGTTAATTAATATCAATATATTAGGAGGGGTTATATCCTTCAACTCTTTTAATTTATTAAATTCGGCCGCTATATTATCTATTTATTTTAAATTAAATATTATTAATAGTTTAATAAGGATTATATTATTCTATTTAATTAAATCGAACTTAGTAATAATAATTAAAGTCTCGGTATTAATAATAATATTATTAACTATTTTGTAAAGATAATTTAAAGATATAATAAAGATAATTTACGGGTTGTTCGTATATAACGAGGAAATATTAGTCGCAGTCGGTTTATAATTATATTTGGATGTGCGATCATTAATATTTAAAAAGAGTATTTAAAAACGGGAATAATAATATTTTTCTATAGGGAACTTCAAGCGAGCGATTGATTATTTCTTTACGGGGAAAGAAAATATTAAGGGGGCGAGGGTCGGATAAGAGATTTTTTATAGTGTGGGGTCGGTCTTGGCGTATTTATTTGGGTTAGGAAGTTTTGGTAATGGGGTCGGGTCATATGAGTACTCCTTCCACTCGTGGCCCACCGTTAATCAATACCTAAGCTACAGTGATGTGGACATTGTGGAGCTGCTTTTGCCTTGAACAAAACAGGTGGGGACAGCTGTCTGGGCAACCGCGAATCAAAGCGTCCAATTGCTTTCCCCGCCACATTCCCCAAGTTGCCAAGCCACACCTGCACGCTATAAAGCACCATGATTCATCAACATCCGTTTTTAGGTTCCAGGGAAATCAGACATAATCAGACATGCGTATGCCCGAATATGTACATTTTATGCCCGCAAAAATACCTGCTCGTCAGGTCTACAAAATCGACCTCTGACTAGCGGGCGGGCCACTAGTTAGGATCATTGATTCGTACATGATCATTGATTCGTACCGGATTCTTGTATCGATACGGTATATGGCTTGCATGCATCAAATATGCAGCTCGGAGGGGTAAGATGCAGTTAAACAACTTGAATATGCAGCTAGACCCGCTAACCGGCTTAGCTTGCGTGACTTTGGCGCCAAAGGTTTTTACTAGCCAATATAAGTCGCTCCCGCAGTACGAATCAATGATCGTGTACGAATCAATGATCCTGACTAGTGGCTCGCCCGCTAGTCAGAGGTCGATTTTGTAGACCTGACGAGTGTGGGGGAGACGTGTTGCCACCCCGGAGCACTGTAAATTCGATTCTTCTGGTGCCCTGTCTTTTTCCCCTGTCAAATAAGGACATTCAAAATCACCGTCTTGCATACAATTTCTGGCGGGCATGAATGTTGCAGTATGCTTACAGACTATGCCTGATTTCCTTGGTAGCTGAAAACGGATGGCCCGAGTCTTTGCGGTGCCATGAGGACAAGTGTACTTTAACTGATATATATACCTATATGGTCCGTTAATCCCAGTGAATGGGGATGATTTTGGCCAACTTAGCATCTTCAAATCTGACCAAGTTTCGCAAACATGACGACGACGACATCCGCCCCCGGCGACACCCCCGGTAAGACCCCCGGTGACACTCCGGTCAAGATTACGGCCACGCATGTTATTAACTTCGCCGACCCCAAGAGCTTGGAACATCTCCCCTCTCCTTTCCGACTTGGTCCCTTGGATTACCTCGCCCATACCGGCGTCCCTATCGACCTGGTCTACGCCTATGAAAAGCCCGATCATGAAAAGACAGAAGACTTCATTCCTATCTCACGACTGCGTGAAGCCATCAGCAACCTGCTCAATTACTACCCTCACCTGACCGGCCGCCTCGCCATCGACCCTTCCAATGGCGTCCGGAGTATCACCAAGCTGGGCACGGGCGCCTCCCTGTTCGAAGCATCTTGCGACCAGCCGCTCTCGCCGTCTCCAGATCATATGCGCGGATAGGGCGAGGACATCGAGATGCACAAACTCCCAGGGAGAGGCGAAGCGCTGATTGCCCCATGGGATCCCTCTTTCGACGACAAAACGGGCATACAGCGCGGCCCCCTTCTGCTAATCCAACGTACCCAATTCAAGTGCGGCTCCGTCGCCATCGGATACCGCATCTCCCACGCCGTCTGCGCCGCAGAGGGGTGCCTTCATCTGTACCAAGACCTGTGCGACATCTACCGCAAGCTTTCTCGCCGTGATATCGGAACCCTTGACCTCCCACCGCATATCATCCCCTGGGGCGCCTACCGAATAACCGAAGGCGATACGGGCGAAGCACCCTGGGCCATTACTGATCCACCACCTGGCTTCATCATCTCCTCCCAGCCAGGCGAAGCACTAGGCGGCGATGCCGACAAGCACATGAAGAGTACAGTCACTTCAGACACTGCCCAAGAACCTCACATCCCTATGGTCGGCACTTACCTGAACTTCGACCCCGACGAACTTGCCCATCTCCAAGCCAAAGCTACAAACCCCGACGATGAGGACTCCTGGGTATCCACGTTTGAAGCCCTCGTTGCCCACCTGTGGCAGCGCACCCACCAAGCCCGCGTCGTCGTCGCTTCCGATCAGGCCCACCGTTTGACCGGGCACCCCAGAGGTGTCCCGCTTCCCAAAGACTGCCTCCCGACACCCAGCCTTTGGACCACTGGTATAAACTTTGCCCATCCCTCCCGCTTCGACTTCGCTGGACAAAGTAGGGGGTGGGGAAGGAGTCATTACTTTCCCAATGCCACCCTTCCCGTTTTCTTCACCTTGCCACATGCAGAGGAAGATGGGCTTGACTTGTGGGACGCCCCGCTTTGGCAGGTGGCCAGATTGATACACGACAAAATGCGTCATTTTGACACGTTTACCAGCATGGAATACGCACATATAGTTTGCCAATGGATGTGTGACTTACCCGACAAGCGCCTTGCCAAAGTCGACTTCAACCTGTTTGGGGAGTGGTGCTTTGTGAATACGGACTGGAGCAAGTATGAGCTGTATGGGGAGCGGACGGCGCTGGATGTTGAGGCAGTGTTGGCAGGCCCGCCCTTCACAAAGTTGTCGAGGTTGGATGGCTTTACAACTTTTCTCAAAGCGATGAGTGGAGGGATTGATGTGAGGTTGACGACGAACGAGGCGGCCTCGGAATATTCGACATACTGGGATGGGTTCACGGGGCGGTTTAGGTGGTAGGACAGAGTGGAAGGTCAGGTCGGCTGGAGAAGCATCGTGGATTGGGTCGGGAACCTCCGTAAAGATCAGACCGAGGAAGTTTCGGCCGGCTGTGATACATGGAATTAGAAGGATGGTATCCCGTATATGGCCCAATTGAGCCACGCTTCTAGAAGACATGCACTGCAACCCCAGCGTAATACCGGCTTTAAGCAACATGGAAGCGATTTCGGAAAGATGAGAAGATGTCTGCAATAGGTCGTGGGATTGTTTGGGACACGAGCATCAGTATCCCCGTCCGTTGAGGTTCTCGACATCATCATCATGATGTCGAGACTAGCGAGGAACGAACATATCAGAATACAGTGCATCTACCAACGTACATGTGGTCAAACAACTTCGCTTCTTTGTTTACTGTGAGAAATCCGTTTCCATCCACCTTCAAGGGTCCTCAAACTCGCCGTCTAAAACAAGCAGTCAACCAACGTAAACCACTTTGCTTGTTTCCAACTCAAAAGAGATCAACATTCTTGCCCTTTCCACGAAATACCTAGGTACCCAGCGGGTCTTATCCTTATATCAACCAAGGGCCCGAATCACAAACACCCATCATCGTCTTCACCAGTCTTACCTTAACCTACCACACCACCTCCCTTTCACTCCATTTGCCCCAGCCAACAACCACAAAACAGACGAACAAAATCAGAAAGTCGGCGGATCACAATACCCAAACTCCGTCTGACAACCCACGATATACGGACAGAACTGATCCCCCTCTCCACACCATCCAAACTGGCTGCAACACCGACCATACGTACTTCCCAAACAATTCTGTCCGTTCCCGCACCTCCCGTCTCTACTTGACACTTGACCGGGCGGTAGCGTGATGGTCGGTCCGGCGCTCGTGCTGGTGGTGGTGCCTGTCCTTGTGCTTGTGCTTGTAGTCCTGGAAGTGGAAGTGGTAGAGGTGGTAGTGATCCGGGAAGTTGTGGTGGTGCTGGTGGTGGAAGAAGTGGAAGTACTAGTAGGAGGAGTGGTGGTGGTTCCGGGAGGTCCAGAATCAACATCGCAAAGACCAAAAGCAGATTGGCACCCTGCACCGCAGTACTCGGGTCCGGAACCGCACCAGAAGAATTGAGAGCAGCAGGGGCCCCAGCCGGCGTCGGCAATGCCGGGGCAGATGGTGGAGTTGCCGCATTGGCCGTTGGTGGTGATGATTCCTGTGGGGTCAGTGGGGATGGGGACGGAACTGCTGGTGCTGGTGCTGGTGCTGCTTCTCGTTGAGCTACTGGTGGTACTGGTGGTGCTCGTGGTGCTACTGCTGCGTGTCGAGCTGGTGGTTGAAGTGCTGCTGGTCGGCCTTATGGTGGTCGAAGTAGTGGTAGCCACAGGCCGAGGCCATCCACAGACTCCATACGCAGGCTGGCAATCAAAGCCCGGGTAGCAATGGTCTACGGAGTCGCCGCAGTAGCTGTAGTCGGAACAGCAGAGGTTGTCGGGGCAGCGGCCGTAGTTGGCACCACAACGACCGGTGGTGGTTTGGCGGGTGTTGAGCAGCTCGTCGTGGCGTTCGTCATATCTGACAAGGAGGTGCCGTTGGGGTGTTGGTGTTGACGGCGGGCGAGGGCACGGAGAAGTTGTCGGTCTGGGAGGGTGAAGTCGTTGAGGTGGGATTTGGCGAGAGCTGGAAGGGGCCACCAGCTCAGCGCTGTGAGCGTGAAAAGGTTGAGGAACTTCATTTTTTTGATCCTGAAGACAGGAAGGGTTGTCTGGTTCGAACCTAGAGACCTGAAGATCACAGCAGCACGAGGGAAACAAGCCGACGAAGGGAAGAGGAGGGCATGTGAGAGGGTTTTGAAGCTCTCTTGGAGCTTCCCATTCCCCCCACACTTCGTCACCACATATTCCTTCTCGGCTCAAGGACCCTCGATACCAAACTTTTGGCTGACGTGGACAGAGACACATGAGATATGACGCCCAGGATCTTGCCGAGCAATCACCAACAACAGCCAGAAAGGAAAATACTACGACAGCAAGCCAGTTACTCGGTCGTACTTTCCGGGACTTGACCATTTGGAAGTTGTAAAGTTGTCGTTGTGAGAGGACCAATAAAGAGGCTAAATGGCCGGCTGCCGGGTTTACCGAGTTATGTTGCTGCAGGAACGGCGGATCTTATCCCGTGTCACCCTCTTCCGAAAACCACGTTGTTGTTATACCGTGTCTTGGCGGTAACTGGCTTGATTTTTCTCCATCGTTTCTGGGAAACTCGGCACTTGATGCGCGGTTGGGCCATCTGAAGGGAAGTTGGACTGGTTTTCTATGTCTTCAACCACGGAACCTGACTAAAACTTGATCAAAAGCGTCCCAACAACGGAAAAGAGGAAGCAGTTCCCGTTTCCCGAATACGCCACGGCGCAGTGAACCAAGAACCAAGCACCGAAGCATCACATATAACGTTCTTTCACAAGCACATGCCACACCACAAACCACACGGATGAATCCTCGGACAAAAGAGGCTCAATAGATGTCATCATGCCCAACTTAGCCGGTCACATCTACAGTCTCCAGTCACATGTTCTCAGCCTCCACCTCCGAGACCTTCACTTCCGAGCCCTTTGACTCGGAACTGAAACCCGCAGCAGCTGCCTCCTCCTTCCTTACCGCCTCCTTCGCCGCCTCGAACGCATCATAACAAAACAAGACTTCCCTAAACTCCCTTGTCCACGGCAACGCATCCTTATGCGGCAACGGTCCCTTGTAATACCTCCTGACCTCCTCCTCCACGCCTTCGACGTTCAACCACTTGGGCCCTGCATTCGACGCCAACATGGTCAAGTTACACCTCGGGATCCGAAGCTGATCGAATAGCTTCAGCCTGCCCTTGACGAACTCTTCAAGCTGCGAAGAAGTCTCAGAGGGAGGAAACCCGCGAAAGAGGACCTCCATCGTGGCAGCAGACTCAATAGCGATGGCGCCCCCCGCTGCGTGCGTAGGCATCATGACATGCGCCGCGTCGCCTATAACCACTGCTCTGCCACGCACGAACGAGTTCAAAGCTGGCCTTTTGAACAAGTGATGGACCTTGATCCCTTTCTCTCCTGTCAGGGTCCCCCTTTCTTCACCTCTACAACCCTCATCCACCACCACCGCCTTCTCCACTCCATCCCCCTCCTCCTCATCATCACCATCACCATCCCCGGCACCACCAGCATAAGCCATCTCAACCAACCCCTTCACCCCCTCATGGAAACCCTCCACCACCCTCAAAACTTGCTCCCTCCCCACCGCCGTCGACCAACCCGGCGACTCCCCCGCCTCCCCAGGCTGCGTGTCATGCACAATGGCGTTGTTGAGCACGCGCCCGCCGCGGCAGGGGTAAGACACCCAGAGCACATCCCGAATAGGGTCGTGCCAGGAGAGGAAGCCCGGTAAGGGGCCGCCTTGACTGTAAGGGAGGAAGTGTGGCCGGAGGTGAGGGTTGGCGAGGAGCGGGGAGGGGGGGAGGAGGGGGAGGAGGAAGCGGTAGATTGAGCGGCCGGTTGGGCGGGCGAGTGTTTGGGGGTTGGGTTGCACTTGTGGTTCTTTTTCTTGTGGGCTGAGGTCTTGCGGTTTGGCGTCTTTCGGGGACATGGAGGGAGAAAGGATGTAGGGGAGGAGTTTGGACTGTTGTAGAAGGGGGTTAGCGGTGTCAAGGAAAGAGGGAAGGGGGATAGAGGAGGTGAGGGAAAGAGGGAAAGAGGAAGAAGGAAAAGACAGGAAAGAAACGTACGTGTGCGCCATCGGCAATAACAACCAGATCCCATCTACCAGACTTTGACCCATCCTTGAACTCAATCACACCCGCTTCACAATCCACTCCAACTACTTCCCTTCCTAGCCGTATATCCACCGGCCCTCCATCGACCATCCCCTTTGTTCCGTGCCCCCCATCTACTTCACCCTCCGTTTCCCTCTCTCCGTTCGATATCGCCCCCTTTACCCCGTCCCTGATCACCAACTCCCTCAACCCTTTATGCAAGTCCGCCCTATGAACGCCCCAAGACCGCCATCCCATATCCTCCCCAAACCCCTTATATTCCTCAGTCTTCACAACCTCCAACGTATCCGCCCTCGCGAATCGAATACTCCAATTCGGCACCGGCTCCGCCTTCTCGAAATCAAACCCCCATCGCGAGAGACACAAGCTGGCATTGGGAGGCAAAGTGATGGCGGCGCCGGTCTCGTTGGCGAAGAGCGAGCGCTCGAAGATGGTCACGGACCAGCCGGCCCGGCGGAGGGAGAGAGAGGCGGAGAGGCCCGAGATGCCGGCGCCGAGGATTGCGACGCGGGGGCGGTAGTTGTGGGTCGGGAGGGAGCTGGAGGCGCCGGAGGGAGAGGAGGTCGAGGAAATGGTAGAAGCTTCGGAGGGTGATGTCGTGGAGGGAGTCCCGGAGGGAGCAGTGGCATCGGTTCGGCCCGTGGAAAGGGGTATATCGCTCAGGGGTTGGCCGGTTGATGTGGTTGTGGTGGTCGCGGAGGTCTTGGAGGCCATCTTTAACGCGGAGGGCATACTGGCGGTGGAGTCGGGCGCGGTGATGGTTTGATGACGATGGTCAGGTCCTTCGAATGGTGATGTTCGAGTTGCAAGGGTGCATCTTGATGTCGTCGAATGCCCAAGCGTGAAGAGCACAGGTCATGGCTGTACGACCCTCATGCCGGCGTCGTCGCACAGCAGCATCATGTCTGAGAGCGGCAGCAACAGCTGCATCGTCGTAGCTCACTCATCCCATTTCCATTGCATAAAGGAGTGCAATCGCATCCGTCAGCGATGCATACGGCTGAAGTCCGGGTGGTTGTCCGTCATGCGTGCAGGAGTATCAATCTCGGCGGTTGGTCATTATGGCTGCTCCCGGGCGGCACCGCTATTTCTTGTAGCATTTCCCCACTGTTTGTCCGTCAGCAATTGAGATCTCGATGACATTCAGCTCTGGGTTTCACCTACAGGGAAAACTGGACAAATTACGCGAACAATACGGGATCAACCATCTCGATGCGCCCGTGGTATTTCCCTCAACATTTGTTACAGGTGTGGGGCTGATTTTCCTGCCAAGACCGGCCCAGAGACGAGCAAAAAGTGGAAGCGATCAGGAATTATCAAAATCATGCGATGAGGGCATTCACAGATGCAAGTAAACACACCCGAGATAGGGGGTGCATCCCACCAAACCACGGCGAATCACAACTTTTACCATCACAATTGAGGATAGGGCTGTTCTCACGGCAACGGGAATCCACCAAATGCAAATCATTCCTCCCAACATGCGCCCGAGATGGACTCACGGGGCCCCCCAAACGGGCGGTACCAAGATGGGCGTAGTGCTGTATATCGAGCATCGTTGGAACCCGGATATTGTCGGACCCAAGCCGCGGATGCTGGATGAAACGTCGATGCCACGTTCAAAATCCGATCTTGTCGCCTTCAGGAAGTCTCCGCAGTTGGCCCAGGACCACCCCTGCTTCGGTCACCAGTCAAGTGGGCGGCAGTTTGCGGGAAAAAACATGACGGAGAGATCCCGCGAGTCTGTGGGGAATGGATCTAGACTTTTCATTGCTTCGGGGAATTCGGACAATCCATTTCGGATATCTATCTCAAACCGTCAACGGGGCCAGCAACGGGGCATCGACGACTGACAGCCACGAAAGGCAGTTGTATTCCAGTGCTAGTCAGCTAGTTCGTGCTGCCGTGACCGCAAGCGCAAGGTACAATACCTACCTCAGGTCTCGTTTGTCACGCAGGGTACGGGGAGTTAGCGGGGGGATCGGACTCACCTCCGGACCCTGTTAGTGGACATAACCGGGATTTGATGACTCGCTCTGTCTGAGCTGATAGGTTCCCTAACAGATTGACTGGAGCTGGCTGATTTCGAGAGGCGTGATTGGACAGAATCAAGTTTCTCTCTTTTGGCCGTCTACCAAAAAAGGGGCCAAGGGGGCAGAGCACCCAAGAAGAGTGGAAGCCAACCGTTGGGATCGTCGTATCACCACCCACAAGTTTTGCTTGTGCTCCAACCGCTTTCACATTCGGGCAATCCATCCATCCAGCAAAGAGGAGCACCCGGAAATACCACCGCGCTTCGTTTCCGCGTCTAGGCTTTCATGGCCATCGTAGTCGTTTCTACTAGGGAACAAAGACTGCGTAGGCCAAATCAAGGTAAAATGCCCCTGAATGGGCACGAGACACGGGTGGACGTTCGTTCCCAAAAAAGACTCCTCCTCCGGCCATGCCCCCGTTCTCATGGGGGGCCTCCCATTGGAACATCATCATCGTCATCTCGCAATCATAGACACACCAAAACCTACCAAGAGACAGCTCGCTGATCATCCGTCTCCGTCCAGTGATTCATCGCTGCTACCAAGTGCAGCAATTTGGTGGGGCAGAGTAGGAACCTGTTGGGTTCTTCGTTGGCCCTTTGAAAGCGTGCTGCGGGCACACTGTATTTTGGCCGGAAAGGAGAGCCACGGGAGCCTATACCAGCAGTCGGGGTCGGTTCCTCGTCGAGTGTTTCGTCTGGTCGGAAGTGATCCAGTTCCAGTTGAGCAGCAGTGTGGTCCCGTCGTGACCGCCCCCCGTGCCCCCTCTCGACCAGGGAAGCATCACCCGTTGCGCGTGTGTGCGTGGGTGTACATATTGCTTCAGTTTCCTCACGGAACGCTTGTTGACAGCTGGGAGGATAGAGCTTGTGGGAGTTTCCAATCTGCTGGCCCGCTGCTTATGCTGCTACTGCCTACTGTTGCTGCTGTTGCTGGCTCTCCTTAGCTCTTCTTCAGCTGGCAGGATCCACAAGAGAAGCATCGGGGTCTTCGGGATTGAGGCCAGGGCAGCCAGACACTGCTGAAAGAAAGCCTTTTGCTTCGCTTTCTCCTCATCAATCGGAAGACGGAAAAGGAGAAGAGAGACTCTCGTTTTTGTTCCTCGGCAACGCGGAACTAAGCCAGTCCCTACAACCTCCAGTACCACCCCGACTCCCTGTCGTGCCTTTCGATGCGGCTACGGACCCAAGCAGACCTTTGTTCTCATCGTTGTCCCCTTCCCCTGGACAATTCAGCAGCACCAGCCCAAGCACTATTGCGTCTAGAGCATCCCCCACCCAATCCTCTCCGAGTTCGAGCCGGCACCGATGCAAAACTTTCGCGAGATTCGACCAGCTTCCATCCCAACCCACGGCCACGATGTTGAGGGGGCAGCACAACCAACACTACAACCACGAGACCACGCTGAGCAGCAACAGCCTCACCCTCACATTCTGCCCCATGCCGTTGCCCCAGGCTTTGTTGCTGCCGGAAATACAGGCCTTCCAATACCCGTCCAAGGCCCACAGCGAATAGAAAGCATTGTGCTTCCGAGGAGAAAGCGGAGTGTGGTCCAAGCATGCCGTGACTGTCGCAAGACAAAGGCCAAGGTGTGACATTTCCGGTGTTTTTGTTTTTGTTTTTGGTTTTTCCAGTGCAATACATTCATCATGTCCTTCTTCGCCACCTACCACCCTTTCCCCTTGCCCTTCTAGAATTTGATGCCATCCCATCAAATCCTTCCCGTTTCCCCGTCATTTCGTCTAATTCCCGTGTGGCTTGCATACCCGTCAAACCACCCGTGTTACCCGTTACCCGTTAGCTACCCGCGTGTCAAGTCAACAACGTGTGCGTGTCAGTGTTTGCTAACCCCTGTCCCGGTTCTTGTTACCACGGGCAATCCCCCCAATCTAGTGCGGCGGCCAACGTCCCAAGTGCAACAACTGCAAAGCCAAAGGACGACAATGCGGCTACGATGGCGAAGAAGGCCAGTCGCGCTACAAGGCCATGAAGTCGCGCCTCGCACTGCTGGAGAAGACGATGCAGCAGCTGAGAAAGGCGACGCCCGAGCAGGCGGTGCGCCTGATTGAGGAGCTGAAGCAGACGCCTGACGAGTCTTTCACCCCCATGGCGGCCATGGATGAGGACGAGAATACCCCTACTGGCACACCGCCGACGACGGTTATGGCCCCGGCTGGGAACACCTCTACGAACGCTACTGGAAGGCCGAGTTTGCAGCATGCTTCCTCCTACAACAGTGTCGACAGCAGCCAGAACCAGACGCTTGTTGGATCTTCAACGGCTTCATCGTCACGGCACAACTCTGGTCAGGGACTACAGGAACAAGAAGAAGCGTCTCCCCTCCGTGATCGAGCTTCGGTATCGACCGAACCGCCCATCTTGTCTCCGACACCGTGGCAGCTATGGGACAACAACAACAGCACCGCGGTCAATCCCTCTCCCGGAGGAGCATTCAGCGATGGACGACGACAATCTTCCCCGACACCAGCAATCCACCTTCCTATCCCCGACCTCGAAACGACCAACGCGGCCATCAAGGAGTACTTCATCCGTATCGATCGACTTTTCCAGCCCTTTTCCCGTGACGAGCTCAAATCTCTGCATCGAATCGCTTCCGGACTTGACGACTACCCATTGAACTCTTCCCACATAGACCGGAAACGGCAACAGCAAATTGCGCTCAGCTGCCTCACAGCCGTCGCCTCCCTCGGTTCTCAATGCCTTATGGACGCACAGACCGACAGCCGGGTCCAAGAACAAGAAGCGTTTACGAATCTCGCTAAACACTACCTCGACGTGGTGATTGAGCACGAACCTTTGGACGCAGTGCGAGTGTGTGCGCTACTGGCGGGCACGGTGATTATGAACAAGCCTGGGTTGGCATTGAGTTATGTTGGTGTGTTTCCTTCCCCCCCTTTTGCCTTTTCTCCCTTTTCCCGGCCTTCAAGCCTTCCAGCTTCTCTTTCCCTTCATTCTTCCAGAAGCCCCAATGCCAGAAAGACCAATCCCAATTCCAGTGCAATGGGGCTTAGACTGGAAAGAACGAGGTTGGAACAAAGAAGTTGGAAGGAAAGATCCTCATTCAGGGCTGGGAGATCTACGGCCCATCTCTCCCATCGAACGCACTGAATCGAGATCAACACTAACGTCAAGATCTGCAACCCCCTAAAAAGAAACGGGAATAAACCTGTTTTCCAGAGCCTACAGGATGAATCACGATGCGGCGCAGAAACAGGCACAACTACTCGAGGCCCAGCAGGCGCAGAGACGCCAGGCTTTGGCTGCTGCGAGACATGGAGGTCTTTTGGCTTCCCATGGTCAGGGAATGATGTCTCCTACCACTTCTTTGCAGGCGCAACTGGCTCTGTCACCGGTGCCGCACAAGGGAACAATCGGCCATGGAAGAAGTTGGCGGACGTTGGTTTTTCTCGCGAGGTACGTAAGGTATCTTTTTTTGTTTCCTGAGGTGTCAACGTCAACCCTTTCCATGTCGTTCCATTCCGTGAGTCGTTCTGCTGCGCGGACCGTGTGTGTGCCGGCACAGTGCCAATGGACGTATGGATGGTGTGGTGTGACAAAGGGAATCGCGGAACCGGCCGCTTTCTCCACTGATCGTCGGTTTTGTCGCTATTGGATCAATAATTCCCGGTGCAAGCAGTGCTAACTTTTACTTCCGTCGTCTCCAGTTGGCTGAGTTCGGCTCACGGATACATCATTGGTAGCGACTTGTTGGTTGAGAGACAATTGGTGAGTGATTTTTTTTTTTTTTTTCGAAAATGAAATTATTGGGAAGGCTAAACTCCACACTGGATGCCTCGGATTCTCGGCTTCAAGAAGAAGAGAAATGTGCTGACCTGTAGCAGAGTCCGGAAGCTGAGCCGCCGTATCCTGAGAATGCGGATTTGGTTGAGAGTAAGTGCGGGCGTTTCTTTGGTGTTATTGTTTACAACGCCCCTTTTTTGCACAGTGTCAACAAGACAGTTGCCTCTGTGTTGACCTTCCATTCGGTCAACTTCATCATCCCCCTTTCATCAACCTTCCATCTTAACACCACCACCACCCCCTATCCCAACTCCGTCCCCAACTAACATCCCCCGCAGTCACAGAAATAGCCCTAACCCGCCTTTGCTACATCAAATCCTCCATCCTGCGTCTCCGCGCCTCCAACCTGGACCTAACCCCCCACTCCATCCGCCACGTCCTCCTCTCCCTTCGCCACTGGTACCACACCTTGCCCTCCACCATCCAACTCAACTTCCACAACATCTCACGCTCCTCGCCCTCCGGTTCGCCCTTCCCCTCTGCTTCTTCAGGAGGAGCCTCCTCGGGCACAACCTCCGGCCTGCTCGAAACCCACCGGTCCATCCACCACATCCACATCCTCTACTCCGACTCCATCACCTTGCTGTATAGGTGGTTAATCAGCCAGAGCATCACCTGCCGGTTGCACGGCAACCATGAGGGTCACCATGCGCTGGATACACCCCTGCGGGAGTTACTCCTGGAACACGCGGATGATGCGATTAGAGTTGCGGGATTGAGTGCCGTGGTTCTGAGAAGGATGATTCATAACGACGAGGAGATCTTGATGCCGTGTTGGACGGCTGGGTTTCAGGCTTATACCAGCTGTGCGGTGTTGCTTTGGAGTGTGGTGGGGAAGATGGTTAACGGCGTTGGTGTTCACGCCCCAAGAGGAGGTGTGAAAGAGGCAAAAGAATGGGAATGGCAAGACCGCTACGGCTGGCGCGGCGAACTCGATCGAGTGCACGACTGCCTCGTCGTCTTGGAACTCTGCGCTCGCTTGGGAGGAGGAAGAGACGGAGCAGAGAGATGGTGGAGGCGCATGCGAGCTTTGCTTTCGGTCGTTGAGTCTTCTGCCACTTATCGCCAGTGGGGACAACAACAGCAGCTGCTGCAGCAGCAGCAGAGGGAACGGGAGCTGGCTTACCACCAGAACCCCCACGGTTCTCCTGACCACGGGAATCGACAACAACAACAACAACAACAACAACAACGCCCGCCGCCCCTAGCGCTCGAACCCCAAGATCGCAGTTATCTGCTTACCCTCCCACCTCCGCATGCGCATGCGACGAACGGCAAGGTGGTCGATTACTCCCTAGCCAGAGTCTCCGTGTCACTCATCATGCTCCTGCATCAGAGTTTCGGAGCGCCTGGGAGTCAGAAGCTCGAGGGAGTGGGCGATGAGGAGTTTGCCGTGGGAGATTGGGGACAGCACATACATTCGCGGAGGGGAAGTGCAGTTGCAGGTGCAGCTGTCCCTGAGGATGGAAATACCTCTAGCGGTGCCAACTTGAATGGCTTGTTGGACTTGGAGAGCGAGCAGGCGAGGATTTTGGAGTGGTTGGGGTGGAATTTGCCTGTGAGTGGGCTGAACGGGGGGATGCCGACAAATGTGCCTGTGCCTGTTGATCCGGGGATGGCCCAGGGTGATCGTCATGGCAGTGGTGGTGGTGGTGGGTATCAGCAGGGTAGTATGGGGATGGGGATGATGAGGATGGATTTGGGGAGGTAGTGCCGTTGTCCAAGTTGAGCCCTTGAATCCAATCTTCAAGTTACCTGTCAAAGTCTTGCAGTTGTTTTGTTCCATGTTCTGCGTCGAGCTATTCCCAGTGATGAGAAGCAAAAGTGACTCTTGGTGCGTACTGCATCCCTTGAGTTGGTGGGACAGCCATCTCAACATCTACATCAAAGTCGAGCTCATAATCTTCATACTCCGAATCTGTAGTAGGGAAGAGGGGGCCAGCTGCTGAAGCTGATAATATGTTGGGGTTTGGTGGGCTTGATAGTCCTGCATGTGAAACCTGAAAGGAGGACATAGAGGTGGCGGAAGCAGAAGGGGGAAGCACGCCACCGTTGAGAGCGAAGGATACCCATTTGCTGAAAACTAGGAGGTAGAGGGCGACAGGGGTAGAGAGAAGAGATTGAATCCTTGCTTCTGTGGGGGGGACGAGGGCTCCTCCTGGGGCAAGAGGAGAAGCCTCGGTGATTGCATCAGCTACCGCTAGTAGCAGCGTCATGAGATCGGGTCTGACGACTGCTCCTAGGAGGACAAGTTGCTCCCTGATGCTATCCTGCAGTCCGAGTCCTGGTACACCTGGGAAGGAAGGTAGAAGAAGTGGACTGCAAGGCGAAGCAGAGCTGAAAGAGCAGCGACGACAAGTACGACAGATGCATTGTCAGTATCGGTGTTGGCAAAGCTGTAAGCTTGGTGTTTCCGCCGAGAATGGTGCTCTGCCATGTGTCCAAGAAAGGTTGGAGGATTATTGCTGTTGCTGCTGCCCCCGAGGTGAAGTGGATGCCGAGAGCGGAGGCGTAGAGGTGCGTGAGAACGGTGGGTGGATGGGTGAGGAGAGGCTCGTGGAGGCGAAGAAAGGCAGTTTTGAGGTGGGATGCTACTAGCGCTGTTGCGGCTGTTAGTAGATGTCTTTTGTGTCTTGAGAGAAAAAAGGAAAGGTTGGTGGAATGTTAAGGCTCGGACTTGTTGGGGTGACACAGATGCAGGGCTGAGAATTTTGATCGTCGTGCAACGCTCAGGGGCAAGTAAACAACAACAAAGACTTACGACTGTGCATCAACTCAGAAGAGCTCCGGTTCAACAACTCCAACTCATTCCTCAAGCTCACGATCCTTGCAATTATTGCTTCGTCTTCTGCTGGATTTAGAGAGGTGACAATGTCAGCAGGCTTCAAAATTAATCGGGAGAGAAAGCGTTTCATTCGTTGTCAGAATCGAACATGGCTGGAATTCCAGATGAAATATCAGCCCAGCTAGGTGTCAACGAACCAACGAGCCTCCGAAGGATTCTCGCTAGAGGCAAGACTATCCCCAAAACTGGGAACGGGTGGTGCATTTTAGGGGCTCAGGTTGTCACCCCCTTCCTTCTATCCAACCTCAACCAACTTTGCAACCCCATCCCAAGTCCCCGGCGCTCACTGCTGGTTCTTGTCCAACCTCCAAACCATACTCGTCAAGGGCACGCCATAGCAATCATATGTCTCCATGCTCTCAAACCCGCAAACCTCATAAAGCGGCACGCCCGCCTCGGTAGCCGTCAAGTACGCATCCCTTCCCTCCTCCCTCGCGAACTCCAGACCCCAATTCAACAACTTCCTGCCAATTCCCCTCCTGTGCTGCTTGGGATCGACGCTGATCAAGATTGCATCTGTCCATCTCTTCGTCAGTCCACGCCCTCCTTCCTTTCCATCTCACACTTGGGCAATAGTAGGTACTCACACCAATAATCTTCATGACCCTTCGGTCCCAAACCCTCCTTGTCCTTTGCAGTGAACCTCTCCACAACCTTGAAAAACATGTCCTTATCATACGTCGCCGGCCTAACCTCCACGCCCAGCACCTCCGGTCCCTCAGGCCCAGGCTTCTGCCAGTGCGCAGAACCCAGGATTTCCTTCTCCTCACCGGTGGAATCGTCAACTTGCACGGCAACCACGCATGGCTTCCCCTCGCGCATCCGCTTGATGTACATGGACGTGCGCCATGTGATCTCGTCGGCGGTCAGATCGGCTTCGGTGACGGTTGCCGTGGCGAGTTGGGAACGGGGGAAGATGAGGGGGGAGAGGGAGTCGGCGAAGGCGGCGGTGGCGATGCGGGCGAGGGAGGGGGCGTCGGCCTCGGTGGCGGGGCGGAGGGTGATGGTCATTTTGGCGGTTTGACGGTGTTGTATTTGGGTCTGGTGTGGTAATGGCGAGGCGAATAGGTGAAGTGAGGTGAGTGGTGAGAAGAGCGAAAGATATCAAATACATGTAGCGGACCCGGACGTCGATGTCTAACGTTCTCCGTTCCGGGTTTCCGCCCGCTCCGGCTTCCGGGCGTGAGTCTTCGCCGGCGGAGTCACACGATTTGGTAATGCCAATAACCGCTGGTGGAGCCCTCCGTAGCGCTTATCCTGACCACTGGCTCACGGCTTGCATCGCCTCAATCCTTCTGTATTTCCAGGGCAACGCCATCGCTTCCGGGCTTCGCGATCCACCGCTGCCGTCTGAGGTGGCGGGGAGTTGCCGGTCCGGATCCAGATGGGAGGCCCACAGCGCCGACGCTGATGTCAACAGAATGCCGGAAAGGGAAGGCAAACGACAGCCGATGCAGCAACAGTAAATAATGGCATTGTAAGTTCCTGTCGCTCGAAAGAGTCTGATTTTCAGAGCGGCAAAGAACTCTTTCCACGAAGGTGTGCTTGAGCTGTCTCGATGAGTGGAAACAAAACAAGTCAGGAGTAAAGTAAACAAAACCTGCCTCGAAAAGGTGCGGAGAGACCCGCTTTTCCAACATCCTTGTCCATCAATCGGGACCTCCACCCGCACCTGGCCATTAGACAAGGCTGACGAACCAAGCTGGTCGTTTTCATGTCCTTGCTGCCTTGTCTACATGTACCTAGAGGTACCTTTCCATCCTTTGTTTACTTCCCCCTGAGATGTACATCCTGCAGTGCAGAACCGAACAACAGTAGTTCAAATCATACCAGGGTCTTCACCGGACATAAATGGAGGTACGCAACATCTCGTGCTCTTCCTCTCTCGACCTCTCATCTCCCTTACCGCGCCCCCTCCGGCGCCGATATCTTCGTTCCGTTTTCCAAAAGCGGCACCCTAAACAACCCAAAAGGCCTCTTCCTCCTATCCCCTTCCTCTCCCGGGGACCACATAGCCCCCGACAAATGCAACTGATTGCTCGTGAAATACACAAACCCTCTCCCCTCTTCTTTCGGATCATCAGCAACGCTGAGCGTATCAACCCACCCAATCCTCGGATCCCTAACCACCGTCTGCGTCGTCCCCGTCGCAGGATCAAACGCCACCAAGCTATTAGCTTCGTTGTTCCCCTTGTATATCACCCCGTTGGAATCCGTTTCCATGCCGTCGGAGTTGCCCGTCTGTCCATGGTTTACCACCGCTTTTACTAGTTCAGACTCAACGGCGTCGTCACGCTGGCGTAGCAGTGCCGTGGGAACCGAGTAGAGGTTCCTGCCGGCTACGGCGCCATAGAAGAGTGTTTCCCCATCAGCAGAAATGGCGATCCCGTCTGACCCGAAGGAAATGTAGCCGGGGGGTGAGGTGGTGGTGAGGTTACCAGTGGGAGCGTGGCCTGGGTCAGGAGCGGAGTAAATGGGTTGGCCCCAGACGAACGGCACAAACTTCTCCTCTGGCAAGACGGACGGTTGTCTTTGCAATCTCCGCCAGGAGTCGCCGGTTCCGAGGTCGACGACGATTATCCCGTTTTGTCCGTTCAAGGAAGAATCCGTGATGTAAGCCATGCCGGCGCCGGAAGAGGTGACATTGGGGCGCAAATCGAACCGGACGTCATTGAGGTAGGTACCTCCAGGCAGGGCTACCTCCGGAGGGAAAAGGATGGTTTGGAAGATTTTGTCGGTAGATAAATCGACGCCAATGAGTTTAGGCCCGCCGTAACTAGAGCGAAGAAGAATCACAGAGCCATTGGGGAAGGTGTACAGCGGCCTGCCTGTGTCCAAAATCCAGAGTCGATCGAGAGGGTCGATGACCACACTCTGCACGGCGATCAGATGGTCCGCACTTCCGCATCCGACTGGGTTTTGAGGGTCAGTCAGGTTCACGGCACCACCGGGGCAGGGAGGTGTGTTCATCTCCACAGATGGGTACGCCTTTTCAGTGGAGGGAGAGACGAGTTCGCCAACGGTGAAGATCCCGGGTGTGCCATTGTTGACGTTGGTCGGGTCAAGACCGCCGGGGAAGTTGGAGAAGAGCCGGCCGGTGCTGGAGACTGCTATGCCGGTGGGCCATTGGCCGAAGTAAGCGTGGATGACCTCGAGAGGAGGACCGGAGACGCCTGGGTCGGCGGGGAAGGTGAAGTTGTAGGGGTTATTGTCGTAGACATCGGCGTTAACTGCTAGTGTCTGCAAGATGAGGAATGTAAGGGCGGTAAGGCGGGCCATGTTTGACAGTTGTATCTGTCCAAGATAGCGAAGTTGGTTGAGATGGGAATCTTGGGGTAAGTGAAGTCGACAATGGATAGTATGCATCGACCTTTATATCCCGGTGTTATGTCCACCGCATTTCTTGGACAGGGATGCTGACTGGTACCGGGAAAACAATTCCGTTGACATCATCGCGTGATCATAGATGGGAACTACACTCTTGCCCTGGAACGTTCGTTAGCGCGGGACTTCACTACGAACTCTTTGGCAACTCAACCACCATTCCACCGAATTTCATGCAAGAAGTTGGTATCAACCAGATGCGTTTTGGCCTCCTTATACACTCTGTCCAATTTTCCGTTTCGAATGTGGTTGTCCCGTTGTTTTTCTGTATACTTTTGCAGACCCCTGTCTCAAAGAACCGCGCTAACAATCAAACCTGGGGTAAACTGTAGATCGTACTGCGGAGCGGTAAAGATTGTGTCTCGGCATTGGAACCAGGGTGGCACACAAGGCAAGTCAAGGCAAGTAAGAACCCCTTACTTGCCTTGCCTTGTTAGGATGAGGCCATTTTTGACTTGTGTCAACCTGTTATTTGACTTGCCTTGCTTACTTGCCTGAAAAGGAGGGCATGTATATATGCAAGTAAACAAGGCAAGCAACCCCCTTACTTGCCTTGCCTTGCGTTAAATTTACCCTTACTTGATTTGCCCTACTAGACCTCTTGCTTGCCTTGCCTTGGTATTACTTGCCTCGTGTGCCACGCTGATTGGAACCTCAGGGTTCCCCCACAGCAGCACTGCAGTATTTCTAAGCATCGAGGTTCATACCATAGCAGAAAAACATGGACGGCGTCTGGCCAAGATAGGGGATTCTGCCCCAAGATAAAGTGTCTGCCCCAGATGACCCGTCTGGGCCAAAAGCAAGGAATGGATTGGTCACAAGTTATCATTAACAAACCAAGGGTATCTCCAAACAAAGCATCATCATCCCTCTGGCCTCTTACTCTTCAGCCTCAAAACAAACAACATTTGATGTCATCACTCATAACCGCATCACTCCTTGTATCCTTCACATTCCACTACTGTACCACCCGACACCCTTCTCTCCTCTCTCCTCTCAGAGTCAACCTCTCACGAAGAAGCAACCTTCTCCCCCTTCTCCTTCAAGCTCTTCTCCTCCGTCGGCGTCTGATCCCCCGGCGTCATCCCCTCGGTAACCACCACCTCCCCAGCATGCGCCGCCTGCTCAGCATGAATTGCCTTGACGCCCTTCTTGCCCGTAATATCCCACCAGATGTACTTGCACGTCCTGATCAGCGTCTCCCGTCCCTCGTAGACGGGGAACAGACCGACGCCGATGAAGGAGCAGAAGATCCAGATGATGCCGACGACGACCCAGCCGGTGAAGAAGGGCTTGGAGAAGATGTAGCCGGTGCCGTAGAGGGGCATGGGCCAGAGGATTAGGAGGGCGAGGGTCTGTTGTCCATTAGTGACACAATTACGGAAGGAAAGGGGCTGGGTATGGGGGAGGGGGACTAACCAAAACAGCAGTCATACTCTTCGAAATCTTACTCGCCCTCCTCAACTTCTTCTGCTCCTCCTCCATCTCTCTCTCACTTTCCTCTCTACCCCCCAGAACCTCCTCCAAATCCACGCCCGCCTCGCCCGCAACATCGTGATCATCGCCTCTGCTAATAGCCATCATGCTCTTCCAGTCATAATTCGCCTTGCCGAAGATCAAAGTCAACACGGGGATGAAAACAACCGGACTCAACAAAGCAGCCACATTGCCCGCCAACATCGGCATGTTACTTCCCGTGCACTCAACGCTCATCTCACCACACTCATGCTTGGCCGTGACCAACCATGCCACCAGCGCCACGCAGAGTCCCAAGACGGGGGAGAGGGCAGCAGCCCATTTGTTCAGACCGGACCAGGTTAATGCCAATGCGGCGGGCAGGACTGCACTGCTGATAATGACGCCCATCATCACGTACAGATATCCCATGCTGATACCGGCGTACCAGAGTCCGACAGAAAAGCTAGCGATGAATAGGGCATAAGCGCAGACAGCAACGTGGCTCATGTAAATCAGCCGCTTGCCGGAGGCTTCGGGCTTGATGTACGTCCTGTAGAGATCATAGACGACGATGGAAGAGACGGCAACGAGCTGCGAGGAAGTAGCGGACGTGACAGCCATGAAGACGATCAGAAGCGTAGCAGCCGCTCCGCCCTTTCCTAGCAAAGCCACCGCCGCGTAGGGAAGGACCAGACCAGCTGAGACGTCTGCATCTGACATACGGTTTGGGTAGGTAGGGAAACTGGGGTGATTTTCGAGAGCTAGACCGGACAAGCCCATAGTGGTAGCGGTAAGCCACGGGATAGCGAACCAGCACAGCCCACCGAGGATGTAACCCGGCAAAGCATGCACGGGTGATGCGGCAATGGCCTTGTTGTAGTACCCGTTGTCGAGGAAGACGGTGCCGAAGTTGCCGACGATGTTGATGACGAAGAAGATGGCGCCTTCGCGGGAGCGCATGGTGAGGTAGGAGCCTTCGTGGTTGCCTTCGACGGGGTGGGCGGCGGCTGCTTTGACGAGGAGGTCGTAGACGGCGCTGGGCGAGCCGAGGACGTCGGAGGAGGCGTAAGCGGTGAGGGAAAATACGATGATGATGATCAAGAGGACGAAGGTGTGGATCCAGTCAGTTAAGATAGTGGCCTTGAGACCGCCGACCAAGGTGTAGGCTACCACGCCGACGGGAAGGAGGTAGATGGCTGCGATGGTGTGCATCCCCGTCAAGGCGTTGATGGTGGCGCTTCCACCGACGATCAACATCAGGGAAACCAAGATGTTGGTCATCAAGCCGAAGATCATGAAGACCATATGTGGCAGAGTGCCGAAGCGGGCGCGGATGACTTCGAGGTAGGTATGCGCGTTGGGAGCACGGCGTTTGAGTTCGATGGCGAGGGTCGCGAAGAGGAGGATTTGTACGGTGGCACCGGAAGCGTACCACAGAGGACCGGAGACGCCATATCGGTAGCAGACACCGGAGGACTGGAGGAGGGTGGCGGCCCAGGTCCACGAGGAGACGACGGCGGAACCAACGAGACCGGACTTGACGGTGCGGCCGGCGGTGTTGAACATTTCTGATGTTTGGAGCTCGCGGTTGTAGCGTTTGAGGATGAAGGTGACGAGGATCATACCTGGCAGACGCGGATGTCAGTGATGTTCATGGGTTAGAGTGATGGAGGAGGTACTCACCAAGAGCAAACAATGCTCCCAGCCCAATGACGATGCCATAGCCGACTCCTTGGTTCAGAGCCGGGGCTGTTTCTCCCGCCATTGTGGATGGTGTTTAGGGGACTTTGTTGGACAGAGGTATGGGCTTTGAAGCTTGAGACACTGGACAGACTCGAGCCATGATGTCGGGATGCGGCTGAGATATATAACTTGTATCCCACGAAACCAATGACATGCCGATATGATCCAACGCGGTGGTTATCAGAGTGTGATATCCAATGTCCGATAAGATCTTGTGTGACAACCACCACCGCGGAGTCTGGTACCGTGGAAGCTACCCCGGTCCCCCGTTCCGGTTGCGGGCTGTAACATCAAGTCAGTGTGGACGTAATTCCCATTATTTTCTCCTCTCAGCGGCATACCAAAGGCTGTCGAAAATGTTATCGCTGCGAGGAATGGCGACAGAAAGGTAGCACGCACATGCCTTATCAGCAACCAGTGTAGGGCACCCCGAACTCCTCCGATGTCGTTGCTCTTTTTGGTCGTCTTTGGTCTTTTTGGGTCTCGATCGGCTCTTCGAACCGTTGGCTTCCCCACTTCAGCCATGTGTTTGTGTGTTTTTACCCCATCCATGACGCCAATGTCAAAATGACAGTTCCAATCGCTTCGGGGATTTCATGGGGTTCGAGTCCTTCACGGGGGTTTCCGTTCGTTGCTGACATCGAGATAAGCTTTAGTTACACCTCTGGATCTTATCAGTTCGCCGCTTCCGTCAAGCCTTAAAAGGGTGGTAAGCGTTGCCGAGCGTTAACGCTATTGGTTCCCCTCGTGCTTCTTCCGGGGAACTATCAAATGGTTGCAACGTTGATAGAGACCAAAACTGACCAATCAAAACGCATGACTTATGTGAATTCGAGCTTTCTTATCTTGTCTGATCAACCCGATCTGCAGGGCTCTGAATGTGGCGTTGCCAGATACCGATTTGTATCCCGCTGGATCCCGCTGGATCCCGCTGGCTGAATTTGCCAAGATGGCCGAGATTCTCGATCCCAAAAAGTGATAAGACTTCTTTGTAGCGCATCCCACGTCCCCCATAGAACCTGATTTCCGACATCTCCGACATTTCTCTGGATGCTCACTCGTTGCTTTTTGGGACGGCTGTTTAGGTTTGCATGGAACCCTTGGTAACCCCACAGACCCGATGGCTTGGATCATGGAAGATATCGGTAGTTGGAGCCGGGTGGAAACAAAAGACATTGCCTGGAACCCAGTGGGAGCGAAGCAGGTGCAAAGAATGGAACGTGCAAACAACTGGGAAAAAAGCATTCATTGCAACACATCATCGAACAGAAAGCCAAAAACACTGCCTGCAGGCACCCGAAAGCAACCCAACGGAGCCAAAGGTCCCAGGAAATGTCATCCCGTCAACGGACCTTCCCTCTCAACCCAATGCAACTAATACTCTCTTCTCATAAACCTGCTTCCACGCCTCCTTCTTGATCTCCGCCACATTGACACGATATCTCACGTCCTTGTTGTACTTCCCTGTACCCCTCCGTAACTGCATCACCAACTTTTCCGGGTCGCAGAACGGAAGATAATTGTTCGCAATGCGGATGAACTCGCATTTTCCGTCACCTTTCTCATCCACTCCAATTTCCTGGGCTGTCGGATCGCAAGGATGCGTCCTCCCCACCACTTGTCCATCGTCGTCTAGAATCTCTCGATAGTACTTGGTATACTCCTTCACCTGCAACGGGTTCTCCTGCAAGATAGACGGTCCCTGCACTTTGAGCTCGGACAGTTTGAAGCGCGCTGACTCGGTCCAGAAGAAGATGAGCTGGTCATCTGGTGTATCAAGCAGCACTTCGGGGGTCATGGAGGGGAGGTTATCGTAGATGTCGTCTAGGGTAACCGAGTACTTGCTGTCGGTGACGTTGGGAATGGCCCACGAGTTGGCCCGTTCGGGGTCATTGTCGACTGAGATTCTTCGGACCGGGAACACGCGCAGTGGGTGGTTGCGCAGAACGAAACAGACCACCTTTGGGTTGAGGCCGACTTCTAGCTCGCGGTCCTGCACTTTCAGGAAGATGGCTCCGGACCATCCCAGCCACGACCAACTTGGGAAGGGAACATGCCGCTTGAAACTGGTCATCTCCAGCGTGCTCAGTTCCTCTCTCCTTTTGAGACCTCGCCGATAAGGCTCCCAGCAGAGACAAAGCTCGAATCGCCCGCTAGGCATGCCCCAGAGGAAGTTCTCTCCAGTCATTCTGCGGACTTGTTCCACCACTGCACTGAAAGCATCGAGGGCATCGCCTTGGAACTTCAGATTGCGACCGGAGTAGTCTTGCACCAAGCGTTGGAACTTGTACCAGACTTGCTCTTCAGGGACGTCTTCGGTGTACCATGTTCGTTCGGAGGAGTTGAGAATGGGGTCAGACTCTTGCAGGCCGAACCACGCTAGGGTGCCGAGGGTATCGGTCTCGCAGCAGGATTCCTCCGAGTAGTGAGAGCGGGAACAGGACCAGAGGACGTGGTTCTTCATGATGAAAATGGCACGTCGGGAGAGGGCCCGTTCTTGAAGTGTCCACCCGCGAGAGGCCCAGATGGCCTTGCGGGTTGGATGTTCATGGGATTGGTGGGTAGGGGAGAGAGCAGTGATGAGGGACATTCCAGGGTTGGTGTCTGATGGCGGGATGACGGGGACTACCTCTTGGACTGCATCACGGGGGGTACGGATGCCGGGAAGACCAAAGTTGGAGTCGTCCCCTGCCGCCGCAATAATGGTGAACAAAGAGTGGGCGTACACATTGGCGATGTTGCCCAGTTGCATGACCTTGTCATCGTCGGAGTTCTGGATGATGCAGAGGGCGTCGACCCAGAGGTATTTGAGCCCGAGTTGTTCGGTCAAGTGAATGGCGTCGGAGATGGTCTTGGAGACTTTGCCAACGAGAGAGTTGGGCCGTTGGAGCTCATACTCGTTCTCGATAAGAAGGACAAGTTTCTGTGGAGTGACACCCCAGACGTAGCTGAGTGAAGCAAACTTGAGGGCGGACATGTCGACGTCGTAGAGGTTGTACTTGGTGACGATGCACTTTTTGTGGACGTCGATGAGGCGGAAGAGGGGAATTGGTTTGCTGTGTATGTCAGTCCACGTCCCCCAAACACTGAAAGCGAGTACACTCACCTCAAACGCCTCATCTGTTCCACCAAATCTGGATCATCATCCTCATCCACCTCCTCACTAATCCCACAGATGTCCTTGTGTTTCTCCAAGCACTCCCCGAGCCATTGTTTGATCAAGCCGATGTCAATCATCTCTGGTCTCTTCCGTCCTGCAAACCATACTGTCTCTGGGTTCTCCTCGTCTCCCATCAGCACCCCTTTTCTGTCTTCAGCTCCAACCTCAAAACCCCTTGGAATAGCAGTGTTCATAGTCTGGAAGCTATCCATCACAGAAAACCAGCTTTCTATCTTCTTGGCCATACCCGGCACATTCACATCCTCGTCTTTGTCGGCCGGCCGAAACAGCAGTCCCAACCGTCTGAGGAAGAAGCAATCCCTTTCCTTCAGCCCACCATACTTGTCATCGTGCTCCAACCACGAGGCCCCCTCTGGCGCCGACAATCTCCCACAAAGGGCTACCGTGCCCAAGACCAATGGATCCTTTACGCCCATATTGGTGAGGGTGGCGCGGACGTGCGGCTGTTGGTCTAGGACGGTACGTATGGCGTGGCAGAGATCGCAGGACGAGGAAGATTTGTGGATGCGGGAAAGTAGGCCCAGAGACCATGTTGGCTCGACTTTGGCATATGGGTTGCGCTTGAAGGGACTGAGGTCTTGGGGTGCTGGGTTGCCGTCGTTGAGAGAGAGGAGATCGGTAGTTGTGGGGTAACGAAGCAAAGAGAAGTCGATCAGGGAGCAAAAGGAGCAGAGATTGGGTTCCGTGTTCGACGGTGATGTTAAGGGAATGCTTGTAACGGTGACCGAGCATGTCTTGGGGGACGGCTGTGCGACGTGTGAGGGGAGGGATATCGATACTGGTGGCATCTTGAGAGTTTTATTGGTTGCGTGTTTGGGATGCAAAGGATAGGTATGGAAGAAAAATGTTGCTTGTGATGAAGCAAAATGTCCTGACATGGGTTGGGAAGGTGAGCATTTTTACACCTTTCCATTGACCGTCAGCCGAAAGGCATTGTGACACCCTCCTTGGGCACGCATTTGCACCGCCCAATGCCGCTCCTGCGGTTCTTTCTGTTTTCAGCGGGATGGTCGCCGTGACTGGCCTCGAAGTTTTTCGTTGCAGCGCTTAGGCAAGCTGTCGGAGGTCACTCATCTCGAGACCGTGACTCCCATTCGTGTCTATGTCCGACTGAGATGAGTCAAGACGATACAGGAACTGTGACAAGCAACCGGTTGGCATTGTGAGCGAAATCGATCCAAGGGTCCTAAGACGTTCGGGGTTGCGTACCTCGGTGGCGCGGACGAACCAGAGGGAATCCCAATACACCCTTATATCCGGTTAGCAAGCCTCCTTCACTTGGGGATCGCTTCTTCAGCATGTCATGCAAGGTTCCGATCCTGGGAAGCAATCTTGATCTATGCCCAGTCGAGGGGCAAACGCAAATCAGAGCATGCTTCCCTCCTTACCTACCTCATGAGACGTTTTCATTCTCGGACACCTAAACTCTTGAGACGGGGGAGAAAAAGAGGCGAAAGGAGTCATAAACGGTTGTCACCATTCTACAGGGAGTAAGCACAGCTATCCCACCCCCGCATTTTACTTGCCCTAGGTCGTCAGCAGTAACCCTTTCAGGGCTAAGCCACCCAGAATCGGTTCAATCAGCGATCGCGGTCCCAGAGAAGTCGATAAGGCTGCGACGGGTCGCGGCGCGTGATGAAGATGATGACAAAATGCCGCCCTGACAAGGTGGCTTGCAGGAGGAGGGTCGCTGGATGTAACGCTATCAGCCCCGAAAATAATGATTGTTCGGGGCGTGGTTGTGGGGATCGGCAGCGGGAAGACCTAGACTGAAATGGGGTCTTCAGCTCCAGGCACCGATTTGAAGAGTTCGGGTTGCCGCGCGTGAGACTTGTCGTCTCTCAACCTCGAGGAGGTGAGCTTGAGAAACAAAAAAAAAAAAAAAAAACCTGAGTAGAGGCACCTGAGAGTCTCGTGGGGTCAGTGAAACAAGTCTGGACCGATGGTCTGGAGAAACTCACCATCCTCGCTGTCACTTGTCTCTGTCCTTTGTCGTGAACCCATCGCATTTGACACAATGGACGGAAACCCTATAACCCCTGAGGTGCCTATGCACGTGGCGTCTGAACAAGTGCGTTGGCTTTCCCCTTTCTCCCTTCAGATGGAACTTGACTGACGGGAAACCCCTAGGACTCCGGTCAGCCGCTGTTCAAGCAAAGCCATGCACCCTTCAAGAGCTCCCTCTTCCCAGAGACGGGCTCTCCGGATGCGTACAATGACCTTTTTCCTGCCCATGGTCGGTGCGGTGACGACTTGCACTCCCTCTACCACGGTCCTCCCGCTTCCACTCGCCCTAGCCTATCCACTACAGGACCTCCAAGCTTCGACTTTGCGTCTTTTCTTGCCACCGAGTTTGATCTCTCCAAAGTGCATGCAATCAAGCATCGGCTCTGGTTAGCTGGCCGCCCCGTTCCTCCTCGCTCCTTGCAAACCCAGATTACGCTAGGGAGAGAAGTGGTGGTGAGTGAGAAAATAGAACTCCACCTGGTTTGGGGAAGGGGCAAGGTCTACTTGAAGCCTTTAGCCAAGTTTTTGTTGTGCAAGAAGTTCTGGGACGACGAGTTGGGGTGTCGTGGCGAAGGAAATTGTCAGGGAGGGCAAAGGAAGCGGGTCGGTGGCGGCTGGGAAGGGACTGAAGGGGCCGGGGGTGACCACAGTGACAGGGACAAGATGATGCTGTTGAATACCGAGCAAGAGGTTGCAAGCAAGAAGGATAGTTCCGAACTACTGTGCAAACGGTGCGAAGCCCGACAGGCAGCGTTGGGGCTGCTGTTCTCGTACGTAGCGTTGATCCAGCGCGAAAGCGATTTGGAGACGGCGCAGGAGAAGGGTCTGGTCCCAAAGGAGATCAGGTGGCCGCAGTGGCGCTTGTTTGTTCACGAGTTCCTCTCCCCAAAGTCCCGCTACCATCCGGTCCATGACGATATCGCAATCCGCTTCATCTATGGCGAACTTCGTCTCCACCGGCTCGACATGATCTACCTTGTCAGCAAGCCGCTGTCGCTCGGATTCATGCCGTTGTGGACGTCGTCCGGGGACTTTGTGGTGAACAATTCGAGCTGGATTATCGGCGGGACGGCGTGGATCGTGGTAGTGTTGTCGGCAATGCAGGTGGCATTAGGGACTGATATGGGCTCAGGGGATCAGAACCCACCGTTGCAGAGGGCGAGTTATGGATTTGCCATCTTCTCCATGCTGGGTCCGATTGCCTCGTTTGCCTTGTTGTTTGTGTATTTGGTTGTTATTTTAGTCTGGAACATTGTAAGAACGAGGGATTATGAGAGGAAGAGGAGTGACAGGTTGGGGAGGGCATGGAGTGACCTGCACCAGTCCAAGGAGAAGAGTTCAAAGCGTGGAAAAGTGTCGGCGGTTTGATGGAAGTTTTGGGGGGATATCTTTGACATTTCCACTTGACACTGAACTCGCCTGGAAGTTGAAAAGGAGGTTGATGACGGAATGAAGAATACCTCTAGTGATGTTCCCTTCGGTTGTGAAGGAGAAAACTATTCAGATTGCCCATCATCCGATGCTCCTTCCCCGACACCGTAAGCCAGCAGAAGTCTAGATGCTCCGGGGACAAGGTTTGTACCTGTAGCCAATAGCGAGAAAGACATTGGAAAAGCGGTTGAGCTCAATATGATGAGCGTCCTCGGGGAAGGTAGGAACGATGAGAGATGGTTGAGCGAGAACTTCGGAAGGTGAGGTTGTGCCTCCAACCTATGACGCCCGAATTACCCCTCCAGTTCGCAAACGCACCTTCTCCAACTCTGCAAACTTGCAGACGATATGACCACTTGGCCAATGGCAATGAGCTTCAGCGTTGACTGCAGTGGTCAAAGGTTTCGAAGAAGGAGTGTTGGAAGAAAAAAGACAGGCAATGAAGCGGATGGCAGTCCGAACCATCAAGGTCCTCAATGGCCCGGACCGATGTCGGAAGACGGAAAAGGAGATGACATCCGCGACTTCCACTTTGGCAAGCAATCGGTGTTTTTGTAAATGAGCCGGTTTGGGAGATTGGAGACTGTCCGAAGGAGAGCGTACAAGATGATAAAGTTCAATGGTTGATACACCCCCAATGGTGATGGTGCCAAATCATCGTCGCGAAAATGTTTTGGAGAAAAAACACCACCAAGGGGATCACGTACCCGTATTAACCCTAACCCCCCACATTCTTCACTTTTCTTAATATCGACAAGGATTGATGTGCCGAGTGGACACATTGCTGAAGCTCGTTTCTAGAACTCCTCCGAATGCCGCAACGTGGATCCCATGAGTCATTAAACCCCGCCACGCGTCAGTGAAAAGGGTTCCATATTTGGAGCTATGAACTAAAGTTTATATTTTGTTTTGACAGCTTTGACGATCCATTTTCATCACTCACCCATCACAACCACCACCACCCACATTTCAACAATGCCTGCCACCACCAACGACCACATCCTCACCCTGTCATGCCCTGACAAGCCGGGCATCGTTCACGCCGTCACTGGCGTGTTCGCCCTGGAGGGCCACAACATTCTCGACCTCCAACAATTCTCCGATCCCGTCTCCCAAAAATTCTTCATGCGCGTGCACTTTGGTCCTACGCCCACTCCCTCGACCGAGCACCTCACCGAGCTCTTCAACAAGCTCGCGGCCGAGTACCAGATGGAGTACAAGATCCGGCCCGTCTCGCAGAAAACCCGGGTCCTGATCATGGTCTCCAAGATCGGCCACTGCCTCAACGACCTCCTCTTCCGCGCCAAGACCGGCCAGCTGCCCATCGACATCCCTCTCATCGTGTCCAACCACCCTACCTTTGAGCCTCTGGCCAAGTCCTACGGCATCGAGTTCCACCACTTGCCTGTCACCGCCAACACCAAGGCCCAGCAGGAATCCCAGATCCTCGAGCTGGCCAAGCAGCACGGCATCGAGCTTATCGTTCTCGCCCGCTACATGCAGGTTCTGTCGCCAACCCTCTGCGAGGCCATGTCTGGCAGGATCATCAACATCCACCACTCCTTCTTGCCGTCTTTCAAGGGCGCGAAGCCCTACCATCAGGCGTACGAGAGGGGCGTCAAGATTATCGGTGCCACGGCGCATTTCGTCACGGCGGATTTGGACGAGGGCCCCATCATCGAGCAGAGGGTCACCAGAGTCGACCACAGTATGGGACCGAATGAGTTGGTGGATGAGGGCTCGAATGTGGAGAGCCAGGTGTTGGCGGCGGCGGTCAAGTGGTATGCCGAGCAGAGGCTGTTCCTTAACAACGGCAAGACTGTTGTTTTCGCTTAGGCTCTGAGTGATGGTGGAAGTGGTGAAGCGAGGGTTCAGGGTTGAGTGCCCTGTGTTGTACATATGATGTTAATGAATACCCGTACATACATGCCTCTGCCATGTGAATAAGTGAACATGATACCTTAAGGTTGAGATACAGAACATGGAACCCCTGGAATTACAGGGCCTGTTTCAGGCGTTCGTTGTTCAATGGCGGGGGAGGGGCACCGCCGCTCCACTGTTGGTATCCAAATCAGTGACATCATTGCGGAAACTCCACTGAAGAAGCCGAATTGAGAAAAGATGGAGTAATTAAACGCAATGTGATTGGCTGTTTCTCGCCGAGTGATGGCCAATTCAAGTTTCAATCCAATTCGTCTTCTTTTCTCCATTTTCTCTCCAACAAAGTCGAGTTCCGCAGATGGACGCCCACGTATCACGACATGGTAGTTGCGCTCGGAGCTAACTCTATTATCGTGTCACCAACCAATATTGCACTCTTCGTCTCTCTCTCCCGGACTCGACCACGCGATTGCTTCAATCCAACCAACACGTCTTCAGTCAAGGCGGACGACATCGGACCAATACCCTAACAACCGCACCAACACCAAATCCGATTCGTCGGCCGATCGCATTATCATCCCGATATTCTGACGAGACCGCACACCGTAGTCGCGGCCGCGCGATTGTACATATCTCGACCATATCTGTACCTGCATTCCACCACTGTCCCCTTGCATCGCTCATCGTCTGTTCGCCAACATTAGCGATTGACTTCGAACGTCATGGTCCAACCCAATACCGCCGCCAACACGGCATCACGACCACAAACTCCTCGAACACCTCGTGCTCCGCGACCACAGCGAACCACCTCATCTGGGTCATTCCACGCTGGCGCCCCGTTCCCCCAATTCAACAGCCCTTACCATGACCCTCGTCACCCCTCCGACAACTCTCGACGAACCTCGGTTGCCTCGATACGTCCCATCCGACGACAGTCCACCCACCATTACCACACCTTCCTAATACAACCACCCAAGACCCCTTCCTCACCACCGCGGAACGACCCGTGGTCTACATATGCGCAACAACGGCGCGGCGGTGGTCATGACGATGGAAGCATATCGGATACATCACAAGGAGAAGGCGACGCCGTCACACCGCTACCATGGAAACAGCTAGGCCTCCTAGCGCTGTTGTCCCTAGCCGAACAGACAGCGCTCAACTCCATTGGTCCATACCTTCCGACCATGGTGGCATCTTTTGACGAGATTCCTGATGGCGATGAAGGATTGTACGTGGGCCTGTTGGCGTCGGCGTTCGCACTCGCCCAATTGGTGACGAACCTGTTCTGGGGATACCTCTCGGATCGCATCGGTCGCAAACCTGTCATGCTGGTGGGCACCCTTCTACTGATGGGCTGCTTCATGTTCTTTGGCTTGTGCAAGACATACGTCCAGCTGATTCTGGTTCATATTGCTATGGGATTGCTCAATGGAAACGCGGCTGTGGTGCCAACAGCGCTGGGAGAGGTCACGGATCGCACAAATCAGAGCAGAGCCTTCACCTGGCTTCCTATCATTTACAGCCTCGGTAGCATCACCGGTCCTGCTCTTGGTGGTCTGCTGGTTGGTACCGTCGGGGCCGACAAGTACCCATTCCTGGGCCCGAACCTTATGAGCGCCGGGTTCCTGTTCGTTGCCGTCGTTGTTCTCGCCATCTGGTTCCGGGAGACATTGGAGAAGGACCAAGAGGAAGACGCCAGCGACTACACTACCATGTTTAACAAGGCTCGCACGCTCCTCGCCGGCTGTCTGGGCAGAAACAACAAGTCCAGCCACGAAAACAACGAAGGCGACGCTCTCCTCGGCCAGGACGGAGATGCCACAAGCGCCAAAGACGTCGCATCGGACCAAAAGTCCGCTTTCCGCCAACTGGCCAACCGCACTACCTTGATCCTGCTGTGCACCTATCTCGTCTTCCAGCTGACCAACATCTCTTTCAACTCGCTCTACCCCATCTTCGCCTCCGCGCCGCCACCCAACGGTCGTAACCTTGGACCTAGCACCATCGGTCTTAGCTTGTCTCTGGCAGGATTGGCTACCATCGTCTTCCAGGCCTTCGTTTTCCAACCGCTGAAGGCGCGCACGGGCAACATGGGTACATACAGATACTCCCTTCTGGGAATGGCCATCTCCATGGCGCTGATGCCCTGGATCGGTTACATCGACCAGAAAAAGACTTGGTTGGGAATTGGGTCGGGCAAAGCTTGGCTGTACAGCGAGTTGGGAGTCATTCTGTTGCTCAAGAACATTTGCGCCGTGGGTGGGTTGAGCAGCGTGATGCTTTTGGTAAGTTTTGTCCTCTCTTCCCTTCCCCTTTTCCTCTTGGCACCTGCTAACAAACTCCAATTTCAGATCACAAACTCTGCCCCTTCCCACGAGTCCCTCGGCACACTGAACGGCATTGCCCAGACCCTTTCCGCCGCTGGTCGTAGCGTGGGCCCTTTCATCTCCGGCGGACTTTTCACTCTGACGAATCTTGTCCGTCCCAAGGGAGAGGCTATTGCCTGGGGTGTATTTGCTGGTGTCGCCCTCCTTGGGTGGTTTGGCACATTGATGATTCGAGGACGTGAGTTGGAGAGTGCCGACTGGCAAGGAGAGGAGGAGGATGAGGAGGATCACGACGAGGAGGCCGCCCATGATTCGGACCGGTGATCGGTGATTCAACACCGTGATGATGGACATGTACAAAATGATATGGGAACGGAGAATGATATGACAGGACGATATACGACCAACGACTCCATGACACGATCGACGATAGATGATGGGCCCGCCGGTTGACGAACGAAAGACCGGGTTGATAATAATTTCCTTTCTTTCTTTGGGTATAAGAAGCATCATGCGACCAGCGGTACAGAATCGATTTGCATTGTCACACGTCTTCCATCTGTCTTTATGTTCCACTTGTTTGCCTGATTGTCATATCGGTTCCGGACTTCTTCATCGCAGCCGCGTTCACACTCAACTCTTCGATATCAACAATCACCACCAGGCAAGTCAATGATATACCGAGCGCTGCGTCGACGTCTCTCTTGAGGATTCGGAACACCACGAAGGAAGGCTCCCTCCTAACGGCCCACTTCAGTCTCGAATTGCCGATACCCTCTGCCGATGATGATGCTGCTACCACTGCAATCGCCTCGGACATTGTGGCGGATGACCTGTATTACGACTCTCGCTCTCCTGACCAAACGGCTCCAGAGACGATCAGACAGGATGGATGGGTCTCTGCAAGATGGATCAACAGTAGGTCGCGGCCTCCGGGAGAGGATCATGTTGCTAGAAATTTAGTTGCGACGAACGAGTGAAGATGCTCTCTGGCGGATCCTCAACTCCAGATGAACAGTTCGTCTGATCTCGTCTCCTTGGCTACAATTCACCCACACTCTTCCATCGCTACTACCTGACTTCTTCAAGTGTGTCAATAGGAATCTATGCTCAGCGTCAGACGTTCGAAATACGGGTGACCAGAATCTCGACGACTACCACTATTTATACCCCGTCCCCCTACCAGCGATGGCTTCTTCTCGAACCAACAACAGCAATCAGTTTTGCCTTGTCGATAATTCCAGTCTACTATACTCCCAAGAAACCCCATCGCATTCAGGATACCGCATATTTGCAACAGCGCGAGTCAAAGCCGAGAAAGAGAGTCGGTCTCGAGAGTTCAAGCGATCCCGAGGCTTACAAGTCCCCCTTCGAGTTCCTCTTTCGAGATCCCGTTTGGACACTCCGCAACCTACATCTTCCAGGCAAAGCTGCCTTGGCTTTTCCTACAGAACCGAACATAATCACCACCAAGATGTGCCACCGCAAGATTGTTACCTTCCTTTGCCACTGTCCCCTCCGGAACATGCCATGCTGTCCGCATTCCGCCCATGTCATACGAGACGGAGACTCCAAGCAGCCACAAGATAAAGGCGTTACGAATACACGGACAGCCACTAGCCCCTCTCTTTCAGATACATCTACACAGCTTAAAGAGTATTCCTCGACCGGAAAGAGGCTCTACTGGCACAAGCGTCAACCCCAAGACGCCCAAGGCGCAGTCCACTGGGATCCCCTCCAAACCAAAACGGTCTGGTACCCATGTGCCGGCTACATCGCGACCCATACAGTTGAAGGATGGGCTATCCCGCTTCACGAGTGTGAAGACTGCCCCGAGTATTACGGGGAAGTGGATGTTGAGACAAAGGAGGTGGGCATTTGTGACCAATGCCAGAGGGGACACGGCACCGCGGCAGTGGGATACCATGCTATGAAGTTGAAGACATACGAGCCATTCCAATCAGTTACCCGTAGTTCTTCGGCCCCGGAAATAAGGTGACAGCAGTGAATGGCCTCAAGGTTGTCTGGTGGAAGGGGATGGAAAAGGATGGGAAGCTGAGGAAAGAATGGCACTGCTACAGGATGGCTGCCGGGCGGGACAATGGTGGATAAAGTATTTCGGTCAGACTTCCAAGCGGAAAGTTTGCAATAATACTTCTTTTTCTTCTATCATATCTGTCACTGTCACTGTGCTATTCGTTCTGTTTGTGCTCAACCTAGTGGTTGAGCCAACCACAGCTCTTGATCGTGAAATGTTCCATTTCACAGAAGCCAGTTGTATACTATGATGTTCGAAGCTACCTAACAATTGCGGTGTTTAGTCCCCGCCGAGGAACCTCAAGCCCAGAATGCCCCTACAATCCCAGCGGTCCCTATCAAAGTGGAGGAAGCAGAACCCGAGCATCCCAATGTCAACAAAGACACAGCTACCGAAACCTCCGCCCTCCCCTACAACCCCGAGAACGAGACAATTATCGTTATCGATGGTTCCGAGCTAGAGGTTTCCTCTACTCCCGACAACAACGAAGACGATGTCGTTGAGATCCCTGACCCCGACCTTTATCGCTGTGTTCAATATCATTCTCTGTCGTTCATGTGACTTTACCCCCAAGTTACATCAGACGAGGATACTGGACCATGAGACTGGTCCTCTAGCCGTCTTTGATGACGAGGGTGACCAGCATGTCTTCAAGTCCATGCCTACTATTCGTGACCGGGACCCCTCAATCTTTCATCCCAACTTCCAACTGCCCCCTCAGTCCCGTGCTGCTCCCATACCCGCCGCTGACCAACCAAAGCCCCCTACAGAAAGCACTGGTAAGGGGTATATGTATTAGTTTGATCGCACACTCTTTCGACACCGCCCCCGGTCTGGGGATGAACAGCGCAGTGGTAGTGGTGTTGCCCTCCCCCTGCCCTCCCTTCCCTTCCTTGAGCCCTCCACTTGTGCGTTCGAACCACGGCGGTGTCCATTCTTTTTGCACTTTCTTTCCCCGTTTCTCTTTGTCGGTAGAATGGCATTGCCTTTTGCTTTCCGTTTGCTTGGTACCACTTCATCGTGTCTTGTTTGGCGAGGAGTGTGAGGGGACAGTCCCACTCGTTCAGGTCCTTGAGTCCGGTCATCGTGACTGTCGGTTGGGGTGGCCTTCTTAGTACCCCTCATTGACGTTCTAAGCGCGGTTGCCGTCGTCGCATTTCCCTCGCTTTTACTGCGTTGGTTCTCAACGTCCTCCATGTGAGCCATCTCATCCTCAACTTGGCATCACGTGTCTTTCTTCACCTTATATAAACCTCAGAGGCAGTCTTTTGGCGCTTGTTGCGATCGTTGGCAATGTCATCGTGGTTGGTGCCTCGAGGTCGGACGGGGATGATCGGGTTGAGCTGGTTCTTGGAACTTGGATCGTTCATCACGTCGTCTTGGATCTGACGCAAGTGCATCGTATACGAGTCAGATGCTGCGCGATGGTACTCAGCACCTGGATAGTTTGGGTCGAATCATTGCCTGTAGCAAAGGCAGTCCCGCGGTAACGTTGCCAGAGTAGGGCAAGTACAGCATCAGCGTCGTTGTTCATGATGGAGCTGGGAGCTGGGAGCTGGGAGCTGGGAGCTGGGAGTCCTTAAAGTCTTTGTACAGGGACTGCGTCTCACGGATGTACACTGCAATGACGCCGTAGGCATTCTTGTCATAGACTCACCAAGTTTAACTGCAAGACTGGCGTCCCCTCGTCACCCTACTTACTCCCTCAAACTCCCGTCGTTTCTGTTGATGATATCACACGCTGTTTATCTGATGTGCTGAGTCTAATGTCCTTTCATCCCGTTCCATTGTCTTTATGAGTTGTTTCTCTCATACTCTAATCTCGAGTGTGAAGCATTCCACGTTATTGACCTGGTGTGTGACTGTGAGGTTCCAGGCTGAGGCTCTCAACGAGGCCGTCTACATCACCAGTCTCGCTCTTCGCTGTTATACGTTGAGGTTGTTGTTGCACTCCGGGACGTGGAAGGTGCGTTATGCGCCTAGCAAGATGCCATGAGTCCCTCCGGGCTGGTAATAAACGCGTCTTACCTCCGTCGATCGTCTTCGAGCAGAAAGTGTCACACCACTCTCACCTCCGGGCAGATGAGCTGTCGAGCCAGGCGCGCAGGGAGTCTAGGAACGTTTTCATCACCAACGGCAAAGAACGGGATGCCAACTTGTTGCCGCCTGCCGTTCATCTCCAACTCATGGACGATATCGAAAGGGAGACAACTTCAGAGGATCATCGACACCTTGGATGCTGGTGCGCTCGCGGCGCATTTTGATGTAAGCCTCGTGCTTGGGACCCTTGATTTTCATGAGCTGCTGGACCGCTCTGGCCACCGCCAGTCGACCTTTGGAGCTGTTAAGCCCCGGCGAAGTATAAAGGTAGTGGAGCACGACACATTACGATCATTGATGAATACCTCTAAGGTAGCATAGAAAGGAACCAGTCGAGCAACCCGAACCGTATTCAAGTGAGATCTGAACCAACGGGTCAACACCATCTCGAAGTTGGGACTCGTTATTGCACTCAAACTCCGACGAAGTGAAAGCACCCACCGCAACCTCGATCGGTCCCAAGAGAGAGGTCAAATGGGGATTGCCTCTCTTGGGTACAAGACCGGTTAAGTGAAAATCGATGTCGAAAAGGTCAAAAGTTACTTGATGCCATACTTCATACCATAATCAGTATACTAGGAACTCCTCCACAGTTACCGAGGTCTGGGTTTCTTCCAGGAACTTTTTCCGGCAGCAAATACAAGAGAGTTGAGTAGCTCTTGATCGGTCTCGCTAGGGGTCAGCGGCACAATGGTTTCAAGCTGCTGCATCTGTACAGAGTTGGGAACCTCTGGCGCGGGTTCTTCCCAAATCATCCCGTGATGATTGGCGAGTTCTTGCCATGTCATACCGTGATGACTGGCGAAAGAACACGAATCTCAGGAGGGCTTGCCACAGCGCAACTTCGTTGAAGAAGTCGAAGGGGTGTTGGTCCATAAATGTACGGATGAATCTGACGGCTGTGTCTAGGATCTCGTCGATGAAATGCTTTGAAAAGAGGCATCGGTACGAGGGGCAGACCACAGAGGACCTGGTCGTCCGGATTGAGGTATCTAGGGCGATCCAGAACTCTGATGAAGTGATGCCTGGTCTCTCCCAATACCTCCTTCGTCGTATTCCGAGTCACTGCCCATCACAGGCATCTACCCGGCTGTTACCTTGGAGGAGTTCATGGTCTACCATCCGTGGTATGAAATGTTTCATCAGAAATACCGCTGCGGGCGATATCTCGACCCGATGAAATGGACAGAACGAATGGTGACCCGGAACGGCTTGGCCTCCTTCCATTCCTTCAAGGTCCACAGACTGCAGATCCTCGACCATCCTTGTGGCGATAGGAGGATTTGGAGTTGAAATCAACGTGAGAAAAGTGTGAGATTTGCCGCGTTAGCGTATCTCATCACAAGGATATCAGCGCGAGAAGGGGTGTGCCGATCCCAGTCTGACGGGACGAGCGAGCGCGACCGATTCCTTACCTAGAGGTACTCTGCGATTTTCGAGATCGTTCATGATCATCAACCACCACGGCTAAATTACTGTACAAAACCTCGTTTCCCAAACTCACTAGCACTCATCCCATATACTAAAGACCTTTTCCCTTCTCCTAATACCTACTAATTCTGATCTTGTCATTAGCGAGTTGCTTCCCAACTGCATTCCCTGCGCAGTCCTGTGTAAGTGACCTTCGAACACTGTATTTGAAGTCGCTAGAAATAAAGTAGAGGCTCAAGGGAGGAGTGTATGGCCCGGATTCCATACCTGAATAATTTCATCTGAAAGGTCTGGTCTATATTGGTTGAATACCTCTAACTCCCGGGGAGCTGTGGGCAATAGGGTACGTGTAGGAAACTATACATAGAGGTAATAGGGTGCGAGCAGGTTTTCTTTTGTTGCGAGATCGCGAGATGAATCTGAGAAGAAGTTCATCTCTTTGTGCAACAACAATACCTACCTTTTCCCTCGTACCCTGGCGACCGTACACTGTCGTTTCAGTATATCTTCAGCGCGTGCTATTGTTCTCCTGGCTTTCGATTCCGCCACGTATTGTTCTGTTTGTTATTCAGTTCTGCATGAAAAGTGTTTCATGTCTTACATCCTTGTGCCACTAGCATCAAGCTGTCACGCTGAATAAGAGTGGCAGGTATTACATCCATTCTATTGAGATAGTTCGTCAATAGCTTCTTGTCAGCTATATCAAGGAGAAAACCTCCGCGCACTCTAAGGTTAGCCTACACGCACTCCAAGACCCATAAAATCCCAAGGGTTAGGGTCTCTGGCACCCCATGACAGCCCATGGCACCCGATATCAGAAAGTCCACTTTTACCCGTGAAAATACCCTATTTCAATGCACGAAACATTGCACCACATTTCGTGAAATTTTTCGATTTTGGCGATTTTGAGTGATTTCCACTTTGCACGTCGCATCACCACCACTCTGCAATACGACCCAGCTAGTAAACCGCGCCAGCTCTCATTGTAGATGCCCTCTAACAACCATCGCCGTCGCCGCGACTCTATCGATACCTCTACCGATGTGACATTTGCAAAGGCTGCCTCCTGGGATCAAGACTATACTGGGCTGACTGTGCGTGCCGGGTTTGGTGGGTTCAAATCACTTCGATATGGGGGATTCACAACGCCACGAGAAGTATCACGACTTTTACTCTGGCGGGAGCGATGTTTGGAACATTGAAAAGACCCCAGTTTACCATACAAAACGACCGTATTTATATAACAGCTGTCATATGGGTCTTAGAGTGCGTATAGGTTGGGCTTAGAGTGCGCTGAGGTTTTCTCATATCAAGGGCAGATAACGTCAACATAAATCTGCTTCCTTCTTTCCTTCTTTCTTTTCCTTTCCTTTACCTTCACTTTCTTTTCTTGACGACGAGACGAGTATAACTGCAATTCAAAGCTTTCCTCTTCAAGTTACTCGCGTAAGACTCATCAACGTTGAGAAAGTAATCTCGCTGCTTCGTCTTCGAAGAACCAAGGTAAGTGAAAAAAAAGTTCAAGTGTACCTTATCTGATCACTCCGCTAACCTTTTTTCTTTCTTTAGAATCAGAAAAACCTTGCAAAGTTGCAAGCCTGGAACCAAAATTTCGTCATCTCAGACTCACTTCTCCTCAAGAATCCCTTCACACATCTATCAAGCAGCAAGCGGTCAAAATGTGCTTCAAGAAAACCACCATCTTCGTCTGCCGCTGCTTCCTCCGCGACACCTCCGCCTGCCCTCACTCCGCCTACCTCGCCAAAGGCGAGCTCGAGAAGAGCAAGATGGAGCGTTTGGCCGCAATCTTCCAGGAGCAGGCCCGTCCCTTTCTCCCTTCCTCTCTTTTGTCATCTCCTCCTCCCGGCATCTCTCGTCCCCCCGGCATCTCTGCTCCCCCTCTGTTCTCTCCTGCCTCCGCTTCCTCTTCTTCTACCTCCCCCGGCATCCCTACCGTCGACACCACCAACGACAATGGCAACAACGCCACCAACACCAACACCATCGCCGCTCCCGAGGCCGAGCCCTAGCGTGCTCCCACCCCTGCCCCGCCCCGCATCATCGACGGCCTCTTCTACGAGCGTAAAATGGGCGAAATCCAGCGCGCCGTTCACTGGGACGTCTGGAGAACCGAGTGGTTCCCTTGTGCGGCGTACCATTGTACGCACCTCGATACCGTGGTCAACTCGGAGGAGGAGTACATGAATTCCCCGGAGTACTTTGGGGATGAGGATAAGGAGGTGAGGGTGCTTGGGTTGTGTGAGGAGTGTAGGGGGGTTCATCGAGATGAGTTGCGTGGGGTGGATGTGTTTGGTGGGTTTGGAAACCAGAACCAGGGGAATGGGGGAGATGGTCAGGGTCGTGCCGGTGGTCAGAAGGATCAGGCTGATGGGGGATCGGACATGCCGGAGGTCAAGGAGGCGTTGAACAGGTGGATGGATATGGCTTGAGGTATGGGGGTCTTGTCGATGACTTGAGGGCCAGCGAAACCGACATAATTCGGGGACGACAGATCGGTGCTTTTGGGACTTGGTTGTTGCTCGGTGGGGATCCATTGTTGAAGGTGATGGGATGATGGCTTGGAGTGGTATGAGGAGATTGAGATTTGACACGAGCATGACATGATATTTCAGACGGGAATGATAAAATCACCAACAGTGGCAGACTTCAAGCCTTCCTCAATTGAACTTTACATCTGGACCTTCATGCCTTACCCTGAACCCTGTATCTGCTGCCTGTCCATGACAGAACCAAAACCCTTACCTTGAGTCGTAAGTGAAGTGATGCCGGACCTGCCATGACCTTGACAGCTGTTCACAGTCCAGGCAGGTTGTCATCCGATGGTGAACCTGAGGCGACGGAATGCGGTGAACTGAACTCCCGGTGAATGCCATCTCATCCCAACATCAGACTTACCCGGCGAATCCAGATAGGCAGTATAAGGCTTGCGCATTTCTCTCGCAAGTGGAAATCTTTCGTGTCCTTTCCCTCCCACCATCAACCGCCATCACCTCAATTTCAGAGATAAAGACCGTCCTAATATCCGACCACCGTCGCAAACAAACTCGTAGGTTCGAACTCCAGTCCACCAAAGTTTTCTCGACGCATACTGACCCCTCTCTTTTCTTTATAGAAGCGGAAGACTCGAGCTTGCTTCCGCGTATGCTGCCCTCGGCCTCGCACAGATCGTGACGCGCACCCGTCATCCTCCCAGCAAGACCTATTTCGGCATCCGGACCTCCGACCTCGAAGTCCGCCAAGAAATCCCGAGCTGCCTCAACCTTCACATGGTACATAGCGGTGCAGCAAAATTTGCCCTCGACCCCTCGGACACAGGCCGATTAATCGCCCATCACCCCGCCAAATAATAGGCGGGCCTTCGGATTTCTAATCCCCTCCTCTCACCTCGTCTTTCTGGACGCCAAATATCTCGACTTTCCCACTGCTAGCTCAAGTCCTCCACGCCGCCCCGCTCTCGCCGCCTCGCGCGACGCGATCTCAAGACAACCTTTCTCGACTTTCTCCCCTCAAACTCGAACTCGACACGAGACACAATCGCCCAAGATGTGTCACAAGAAAACAACCATCTTCGCATGCAACTGCGTGCTGAGGAACCACCGGCTTTGCCCTCATTCCCAAAACCTCGTCACCGTCATCCCCGACAACACCATGCAGGGCAACTCCCAGAGCAACCCGCAGGACAGCATACCCGTCTCCGACCACATCAACCAGCCTGACAACGCCAATACCGCTAGCGAAGGCGATACCAACAAGGACGACGCCAACACTGTCACCGCCAGCCAGAACAGCAGCGCCGCTCCGACAATCACCCTCGAAGTCTCTACCCCGCCTCCCTCCCCCGACGGTACCGCCACCCCCCTCAACGCCGGAGCCTCCCCCTTCGCTCCCACTTCCTCCCCTTTCGCCCCGATGTCCTCCCCCCTCGCTCCGACTTCCTCTGCCGGCGCCACCACCGGCTCCTCCGCCATGCGCTCCCCCCTGAGCGTAGACACTCCATCAGCCTCGATCCACCCCAACAGCCCCTCGTTCTTCTTCACTCCGACCCCCGCCCAGTCCGCCACCGGCCTCTCCTCCGCAGACCACCCCTCCTTCGGCACAATCTTCACCCGCATCCCCCCAACCTCCAACCTCAGCCTCCCCTTCTTCAGCCACTCCGCCAGTGCCTCAGCGGGCTCCAACAATACCATCGACGGCTACCCCTTCCCCGCTCTCACCAACGGGACTTTAACCCCCTCGGCCTGGATATTCACCCACCTCTCCTACGCCAGGCAACAAGAACTCAACCCCAACCCTCAGGATTTGATCAAGTCCACCCTGGCCGAGACTCGCTCCCCCGCGATCCGCAACCCCTTGCCATCGGGCTTCTACCCCCGGCATTTCGAGTCCGCCCAGCGCCACATCCACTGGAACGACTACAAGACCGAATGGATCGACTGTGCAGCGTTTTTCTGCACGCACTTTATGCATCTGCCGAACATGACTGCCCAAGAAAAGGAGCAGGAACACAGCGATTGTCCGGAATATTTCGGGGATGCAGATAAGGTGGTTTTGCAGCTGGGACTGTGCAAGGAATGCGAGGGGTTTCATTATGAGGCGGCTTCGAGGGGAGAGGGTGGGAGTACTACTGTGGAGTGGGGGAGGGCGATGAGTATGGCGTTGGTGGTTGGTAATGGTGTTAGGATTGGGCAGGGTCAGGGTCAGGGTCAGACTCACAGTCAGAACCACAACCAGCAGCCGGAAATGCATGTGGGCGCCCCTGGACAGCAACAGTGCGAAGATGATGGGCAGACGACGCCGACGGTTGAGGCCCGCCAGAGCATGGTCGAGAGGATGCTGCCGCGTGATCGTGTGAGGATGGTTCAGGGCCAGACTCACCAGACTCATAACCAGCCTGAAATGCACGTGGGTGGACAGCACGACCATAAGAATGATGGGCATATAGTCGAGGCCCGCTTTAGCGTCGTCGACAGGTTGTGGCCGCGTGGTCGTGTTAGCATGGGTCACGGTCAAACTCACCAGTCTCACAACCAGCCACCGGAAATGCTCTTGGGTGAACAGCAACAGCAACAGCACGAGGAGGATGATAATGATGATCGTGATATCATCGACAGGGTGTTGAGTTTCGGGGAGGATGAGGATGAGGACTATATGACGCCCCAGCAGTCCCGCAGTATGGTCGACAGAGTTTTTGGTCACACTCACACTCACAACCAGCCGGAGATGCTGATGTGCGGACAGCAACAGCCCGAGCACCAGCCTGAGGATGATGAGACGGCGCTAACGGTCGAGGGCCGCTACAGCGTCGTCGAAAGGTTGCGGCGTGCAGGTGTTCTTAATTTTTAGACCACCTAGGTACACATTGAGATGTAAAGATTTGGTCGCCGGTTTGGAGGTTGATAAATTCTAGGTGGTTTCACTGGTTGGGATACTTGCCTTGGTTGAAGAGCGGAAATGGAAGGAGTGAAACAGGTCTGGAAACAGCGCTGGGTGGTGCCTACCTTAAGGATTTGTCATAACAACTGTGCTGGAGATACCCACATTTCTTTTCTGGAGAGCACCTTCCGAACCATCACGTAATACATAGAGGTAAAAAATGTTGCACAAATACAGTTCTCGCCGTGAGATACGTTGGACTGTATGATAAGTGACAGCAATGATGACTTGGTGATTGACGATGCCCGTAGGACCGTAGTCTAGATGGTGACATTCGCCGGGGCCTGTATCCCTGGACCCACTTTCAGCCTTGTAAGTCGCAGCTTCAAACACCATGGGAAGGATCACGAGTGCTAAACGACGAGCATCCATCCACCAGATGCACCATCCTCAGTGACGTAATTGCTTCAACGCATTTGACTATGCATTAAATCTGATCTACGCATTAAATGACTTACCGGTTTTCGGATATAATGTACGCGCGTCCGAAATCCCAATTTCCTGGCCTGCGTCGGGGTCATCTATCTGCTTGACGCGGACTTTGCATGGCCAAAGCAGAGGAGTGGGAAGCGGCAATTGACGGAGTTAAATGATGAAGTGATCAAGAGTCCATCCAACAGCTACTTGCTTACATACGGTGCACGTGCACAAAAAAAAGAAGAAAGACACCCCAAAAAGCAAAAGAAATGCGCAGTCCGGGAATCGAACCCGGGCCGCTCGTTTGAGCAATCTCTTTTGGGTCCTTAACGATAGCGTTTGGGAAACGAGAGTACTGACCATTATACTAACCGCGCTTTCTTTCTTCCTTGTTGAAGTTTATTCTGGAAGACCCAGACTATAAAGGGCAGTGCAGGTGAGGGTTGTTTAGGGAAGGTGCGTGCGTTGAGACAGGTGTTGTTTGCTTCCTAGTCCGATGTCGGTGCCCTGGTTATACGTCACGAGTCACGAGATGGGTCTTGTTGCGGAAAGAAGGGAGGCACGCACGACAGGTAAAGTTCTTGGCACCTGCAGTCAACAACCGGGAGAAGACAAGACAATTGCAGGAATGCTGTGAAGGAAACCAGTGAGCGCAATCCGACGATCATCGAAAGGCGAGCGTATCACATCATACTGTATTATCGGGGTAGGCTATCGGGTGGATTCAGTTCTGTACCTAGGTGTTGATATGTCCGTCCTGAATGCTGGTGGTTGAACTTTCGGCCATCAGGGATACACATACTCAAGTTAGGTCTACGCCTCATACCACCACAACTTCACGACGGCAATGATCATCAGGGGTAACGAATCCCACCCGTCCAAAGCCACATCAGCAGAGCCCGTCCTGTCCTGGCAGGTTTCGGCATCTGAACACCACACGGCACACACCACGCATTACCTATCGTCAGGCCCGTTCCACGACAGACGCCTATCAGCCGCCTATCAGCCGCCTTTCTTCGGAGGGGGTGGCCAATTGCCAGTTACCACCCTTTCCAAACTCTTGCCATGAAAAGCCAAGCAGCCACACCCGCCAAGGCTGAAGGAATACGAGATCTTTGGGTTGCGGCACTTGGCTTGATGAAGCGAAATTTGTTCAAACGCATCTTGATTGTACTGTGTATTACCGAAGTAAGTTCAAACCTTCTAACTTCCATGTAGCTTATCCTACCACATCCTACCAAGCCACAGTCACTCAGAAGCTCTTCAGATGTACTCGCCTATCGTTGTTCCCGTTCATTCGACATTTTCCATGAAATTGCCCCTCACTAGTGAGATTTATCCAAGCGCCGATTCATAAGACACCATTAGATCCAACCTTATTTGCCCTATCCCAGATATAATATGTTATCCCCAATCTAATATGTACTGGACCCTATCACGTCCATAGAATTACCTCAAGAAATCCCACCCTTTGAGGCTTCCATGTTCCCGTCTCTTCCTTTTCGTTTCTCTTGCCTTCACTCCATTGTGACTGTTTCTCACCAAGAGAAAGTCATCAAAGCCGGGTTCAACGCCAACGGCAACAACAAATGGCTCGCCGCCACCGTCGCCATGGGCAAGATGGCCACGAAATCGGTAATGTGCCATGAGTAAGGGATGAAGGGTGCCGTGGCGAGGATGACCATGCCGATGATGAATCCGATTGAGAAGAGCATTGAGAATTTGAACTGTTACCCGTTTGTTAGTCATTGTTCCTGTCCTAAAGGGGAAAGCTTAAATGGGTGTAGGCATACCTTCTTCAGCACCTTGGGCACTTCAATAAAGAAATTCGAAAACTCCGCCTCCTTACTCGTCGCGCCCCACGTCATATCAATCTCAAACATATGCGCCAACAGTGCCTGAGAAACATGCAGCGACAGCCCACCGAGGAAGATGGCCAACATGAACGTCCACTTGAAATTCTCGATGATGGCCCCAAGAATGCTCTTTTCCCCGACTCTGTACCTCATCACGGCCAACGCCACATTGCCCAGGCCGTTGAAGACGAGAATGATGGAGAACCACACCTGCCACGAGTCGACGTAGTATTTGTCCAAGAACCCGTTGAACCAGCCCATGAGGAAGTAGTTGACCGAAGTCAAGATCCACGCAGCGCCGATGGCGTAGTAGGTGCCGATGTAGGAAATGACGGTGATCTTGGACGTGAAACGGATGTTGGAGAACAAGAAGCGACGGAAGAGAGGTGTGAAAGGGCCTTTCCAAATCCACTTCCGCATGGGGTGGAAGAGCAACTCGTTGCAGCCGTAAGCGTACTTCTCCCAGCGAGCCAGTTCGTCGTACACAGTAAGGGAGACACCCTCCTTGAAGCCATCACCAGCCCAGGCGGCCAGACGAATGATGTAGTCGTTGCATTGCAAGCGCAAAGACATGTCGAAATCTTCCGAGACGTGACTTTCGGACCAGAACTTCTCGTAGCCATCTTCATCTTCGTAAGAGACCTGTTGGATGGCTGACCAGCGTAGAATGGCGTTGTGACCGACGAAAGGGGCGACGTCGCCGTTGGAGACGGTGTAGCGGATGGCCGTGTAGATGAGGTTAGTGAAGAACGTGATGCCGTTTTCGAAGTAGGTGTGCACAACTTGCATGACACCAGACGAGAACTGCATGATCCCGACGTCAGGGGACTGTTCCATTTCGGAGACGGCATCGAGAAGGCAGTCAGACGGGACACGAGTATCCGAGTCAATGAGGAGGATGTAATCGCCCATGCGGATATTGCCGTCGGCCCAAGCGCGACCGTCTTCCTCGAGAACCTCCTTCAGAGCCCTTTCATAAGCTTGGGCTTCGTCATGCTGGGACCACTCGGGGTGTCTGGGAATTTGGGCGAGCTTTTCTTCCACTTTGCAGGAGATCATGAGTGCAAAGTTCATGTTGGAGGCCTTCTTGAACTTTCCGCGACGCTGGAAGCCATTTTCGCCGTGTCGGGGGCGTGCAACCCACCCGATGCTGTGGTCAGCATAGAAGTCAATACGGGCTTGACGATCTTCTTCCGAGATCAACTGAAGACCGTCGTCGTTGATGAACATGTTGGCTGAACCTCCCTGAAGCTCATAAGTGGTAATGGCATGCTTGATGGATTTGACCGTAGGGGCAATGACACCACTGAGACCCTCCTTGTACACGGGACACTGAATAGTAACGTGGGGAAGTGTAGCTGTCTGCAATCTCGGTGGTGGCTTGGCCGAGTAGAACCTGGAGTTGACCGAGAGCTGCTTGATGGGGCCAAAGATTTGGGCCAGACAACCGATGATGACCTGAGCGAAAAAGAGGGTGAAGAAGATTTGTATGGGCGCCAAAGCAACGAGAGCCAAACGGATATAATCGCCGTCAACCATGACTTCGATCGCCAGCTGCCTCCAGGCTGCTCCTAGAGACACTGTGACGACCGCCAGTGTGATACTGACGAGGTAGGTGTTGAGCAAGTGGACCGGTCGTGCTTCGGGCTTCGGTTCGCCGCTTTCCTCATCGATCTCTGTAACGCCCGGAATGGGATGAGGCTTCTCCTCCATTTCACCAGGCTCACCAGTCTTCCATACGAGCTGCATAAGCTCGGACTCTATTTCCTTGGCTCTCGGGATCAGATGGAGGGCATCGTCATCCCAAACTACCAGCAACCCCTCTGACGCAATAAAGGCGGCGAACTGATATTTCCTGGCACGAGGAAGGTCTTCGATGGTGGGCAGAATTTGGACTCGCAAGCCGTTCAGAAGCGGGACATCGACGGCATCTGGCGACCATTGCAGGAAGGTCTTGATGACTCGTGAGTTGACAGTCATTGCACACTGTCGTTTATTAGCTTGGAACAGCCAAACGCTCCCCTGAAAACCATACCTGAACATTGAGAGCAGCACACGCCGTGGCGAAGGGCGAGTTCCCCAAGGCCGGCGGGCAGGCCATGTACTGGCCTCTCGATTTTCGAAGAAGCACACCCTCGATCTCGCCGCTGCCATTTGCTACCCATAGGTACGAGCATTGTTGCTGGTAGAGATAGTTGACCATGACCTCATGCTTGATATCTTCCAGAATCACGGAACTGGCCGTCGACATCATTGAACGTGTTGCTGAGTGGGATCTAGAGCCGAGGCCATAGCGGGCCTGTGGAGGGGCGAGTATGTCGCCATCGTCCTCACCGATTTGTGCGTTCCCGGTGGAAGGTTGACGACCTCTCGATGGTTTTGGGGCAGAGTGTTGTTGGCCTGCCGGCTCAGGCTTCGTGGCCTTGAAATAAGTCACTATCCCCATGATGGTGACGGAAGCCCAACCCTCCCTATCCACTCGGTATATGAATTACCCTTCCGGAGAGTGAGTGACTGAGGGGAGATGGGATGAAGGGAGCAGTGATCACACGGATTGACCGACGTCCGTGACGGATGGGAGAGGGTGAACTAGATGCAGTTGGTCTCGTGCCTGTGATGAGTCTGTCAGCCCATGGTTCTCAGAAGACCCCTCCTCGGGATTCCTAGGAATGGTGACGGGGGTCGGCATACAGTATGTGTTTTCTTTGGCTTTGGACAGCGTCTGTCTTTAAGCGATCTGCATCTAACACCGTGAGACAGCTGTGTAATGTCGGATGAAAAGCTGGTGCTGTGTGGTGTAAGGGGAGTAGTCGGGTATAATGTGTGGGATTCTGTTGTGTTCCCTGGGTATCAAGGGACCTGCTTCTCTGTGCTGGTCTGTCTATGTTATGTCGGAAGTCTAATCAGGTCAAACGAGCGTGGGAATGTGCCAAAGTGAGGGGATATCGAGTCAGAAAAGAAAGACCGAGCTTTTCCTCAACTGGACGAAGCTGACCTTTCTGATAAGAAAGCCGAGCTGGAATAGACAGAACACGATGGTTTGGGCTGGATGTCCAGGGCAAGGAGCCCCCACCTCTCGTCCAGAAGAAAGGTGTGAAGGCCCAGAGACGTACCTTGATGAGAAATGAGGGACCCCCTTTGAGCATTACCCGAGTCTATTGGAAAACCTAAGCAATGCCAGCAATGTTTGTGCGACGGTACATGGCCAGGAGGTACCTATGTGGCCCATGTTACCAGTGACCACACTTGCCCTTGTCTGCCCTACACCTGTCGATACGGCAGACATTCATGGATCCGTAGCTCAAGTACACTAAGATCCAGAACCACCAAATAAGACGTTCAGATGTGTGACTGTGCTTGTGGCGTTCGTGGCAGAGACAGACAGAGCCACATCTCTGTCTGATTGAAAACATCCGTGGGCTATCGGATGGGGCAAAGAGGTAGCCGCTTGAGATAAGAAGCAAGTGATGCCAATGTCATGGTACATGTGTTCCGTTTCTTGTTGGAGGTAACGGAGTCCCAAGGGAACTGTGACGAGGGTAGAGGTAGTCCACCGTTCTGGAGGAAGACAGGGGAGGTGTCTGGGATAGTAGTCAGTGACAAGGCAGAAACACGGAATCGATAAAATGATGGTCATCATTACCATCTTGGGACATCTGGCAGTGTAGGGTTCACAGCGTGGCCTTGACCAGACCAGCCTCATTGATAGGTAGAAATGTCCACTGTGTAGCAATGGCGGCTATTGGCTCAATCTTTGGCTGGGGGCTGAGCTTGTTTTTTTTTTTTTCATCTTTTCCTCTTTTTCACGTGTTGGGGATTGAGGCCATTTTCCCTCTGCTTCCGCTTGAGGTCCGTGTTGTTCGGCAGCAAGGCTCATGGACTCGCTGGGAGTTGCTGATGAAGTGACGTTGCCAAAGAGAAGTGAAAAGTGGAGGAAGAAGAGGAGGGGTGGAAATTTCAGATGGAGACTCAAAGGAACGGCCCGGTCGCTCCTACTCCACTGTTGGTCTATCTCACCCCACCTGCTACACTTGGCTTGGCTTGGCTTGGCGTTCAGGTACGGGCGGGGAGGGGGTCCAGAAATTCCTTTCTATTTCTGTTTCAATTCTTTTCTTTTCTTCAGGCGCTGGCTCTATACGCAGCATCTCATCACTGATCGTCAATGCGACCGCCATGTTGTCGCAAAATATCATTCACCGCAAATCTTCTGCAACGTCAATCAACGTCAATATCGCAAAGAAGCAATTTCGTTGTGATAAATTCGCATTTTCTACGGTTTCAGTTCCATTCACACAGTGTCCCTCGCATCGAGCTAACATTTCTTGGCACGTCACTATCGAACAATGGAAGCAGTGAGTTGAATCTCGCAGTAGTCAGGACAGGGTGAAAGATAAGCTGCCTGAATTTGGCTTTTCCCTCGACAACCTCCTCAATATACTCTATCACTTCCTCCCACGAGCTGGCAAGATAAGGCACTGACAGCGCTTCAGGAAAAAATAGCCTTGTACGACCCCTGTTCTGGAAGCTCTTCGGGTAAGGCATGTTGTCTGACTCTTGTGAAGCCATCTAGGTCCGAGATCCGGGCCTCTTCCGAGGCAGAGCTCTGGATGGATAGGTGATAAGGCTCTCACAGCAGCCGCGATGAGCTGTCATCTTAACCAAGATATCGTATCCAGATGCAGTCCGAGCTTCTTCACTGCCATAAGCAAGCACACGGCACTACGGCAGTGAAAAGTCTGACAGTTCACGGCAATTTGGAGCCGCTTGTCAGCATCATCGTCATCACTCGCTGCCAACTGGGTGGGTTGTCTGCCTACCCCTGGAGATAAACTTTGATCCCTCGCGATAATTGGAGGCTAGTCCTCATACAGAACCCTCTGTCTTACTGGCTGAATTTAACCCTCCAAACTGACACATCCCGCGCGCCGTCGACAACAAGTTTTTTAGCGTGTTGGTCAGATCAACAGGGGAACATTCTAATGCGAGGTCTCAAAACGGCCCGAGCTTGACCCCACCATCTTTCCCATCCTCAACACCTTATACGCCAAAACATGAGTGTTGAAACGTTCCATTCCCATCACCAACATCTCGAAATCAAGGAACGACATCAGATCGTAAAGCCTCAATATCCCTTCAATATCCCTTCATCAACTATCGTTGGTTACGAGCATTGCCAACGCACCAGCCACCTACCCTTGCCCGCCCTTTTATACCCATTTTATACATTATCGCCAGGCACATAACTTGGCATTCGAAGCCACTTTGAGCCGCTCTATCCAGAGATTTTGGATTTGACTGGACAATTGCTCTCAGGTTTGCTATTTTTGGCACTCTGTGAGGCCCATGTTTTTTCTCGTATTCATCGCATCGGTCGTGCATGTCATCGGCGATATGACTGGTTGACATTGCAACGGAAGATACCGGGGGCTGTTGCGAGCCGTAACGGTTGGTAACACAGAGTTGTGACGAGGAAAGTTTGCGATAATCCTTCGCAGACGGACCGTAGAAGGTGCCCGAAGTCTGTCTCCCGATCCCGCAAGTCCCCGGATGTGTTTCCGGTACGGAACCCACAAGACCGGGAGTGCCGAGTCAAAAACCGGGCGGCCCCGGTGTTGAAATCGCCGGTACGCCGTAGCTCTATCTGGGTTGGGGTTTATCCACCGAATATGGACGGGATATGTGATCACGACACCATCTCTCCATCACCATGAGCCTCTTGTGTGGTTACACCTCAAATGTTAACCTCCAAATCATATCATCACGCAAGAAATCAGAACTGACTGACGAAAACAGAAGGAAAGCTTCTCATTGAAGACTGCCAAACATGCAAGCTCCTGGCCTTTTACACATGGTCAAACACCACCAAGGTACAGTCAAAACCACCCCCGGATATCGATATCGAGGAGACAAGCAAACCTCGACCCATATCGCGATTCAATAACAAACCGAAAAAAAGACGGGAGCTCCTAACCTTGAGGTTATGTCCTTCTGCCCCTCCATCGCCGGGGTTCAAGTTAATACTGGACAACCCCGCCCCTACCACTAACAAAAGCTAGTGGATCAAACCCACTGAAACTTAGCGGATCACAAGGGCATCCACAGCGGGAGATCATCCCGTCGCGGGGCTCTTTTCTCTGATCATCACCCCACTGCAACCATCTCCACCTAATTCGGCTTCAACCTTTCAATTTCTTCGACTCCAAAACTCCAACTCAACGTTTTCTACTTATCTTCCACGGTTGCCGATTTCCTAGTACAAGTTTCTCAGGCAGCAGACGGGACTGCCAATAGCACAGCGAACCACACAGAAACCTACCTCTACGAAATGATCCACTATCAAAAACACAGCTTGTCTTCCCAACGTCTCCTCATGTAATCATCAAAAGCCTATTCTATTTCACCCCGACATCAGCCCTAGCATACATTGTATTTCTAACACGAGACCATATTATCTTTTCCTTCTACTAACCCTAGACTTATAACAATTAGGTCCAACACTAAATTGCCACCACAAGGTATCTATCTATCTTCCTTCCACTACTCACCACAACCAGGGCAACTCCCATTGCATCGATCCCTTCATATTTGTTCATGCTCCGATCCCATCGATGTCCCTGCCACCCTCACCCTCACCCAAAAACAAACAAAAAAAAAAAAAAAAAAAAAAAAAACTAAAGATCCTCATTCTCACCCCCATCACACTGCTGCCACATCATCACCTTCTCCACCTCCATCTGCGGCTTCTTCCACGTGGGGAACCACTGATCCTTGGCCTGCCAAAAGTCCTTTTTGGCATTCGGACTCGCATCAAACCACGGCTTGCCATTAACCTGGTCCTCGAACCAGCCGTTCGTCCCTCCCACCGCCACATTAAGAATCAGATAAAACTTTTGATCAAACGGCGTGTTTAAGCGTCCAGTCTGTCCCCACGGATCAACGGTGCGCGTGCCGTTTTCGACCTGCGGGAAATTGCCCCGCTGCCAGAGCGGCTGTTTGTTGAAGTTCACGTAGAGCACCTGCAGCAGGCGCGAGTCGACATACGTAAAAAGGTACTTCTCTGACCATTCGAGCCCGAAGGTGTGGTATTTGTTGGCGAAGGTGGTGTGCAATGCCTGGCGCTTGACGTTGGTCCGCCAGAAGGCGTCGGACAGGGAGGAAGGGCCCCAGTGCAGCGTCGAGGAGATGATGTCGTTGCCGCCCTGCGGGTACGTGTAGTTGTTTCCGCGCGACTCGGCCAGGTCGATCTCGCCCGATTGCGGCCACTCGCCGTACGTGTTGTTGACGGGCATCATCCAGATGGCGGGCCAGAGCCAGTCTCCCTCCGGCAAGCGGGCGGTGACTTCGACGCGGCCGTATTTGATGGAGGCTCCCAGGCGGGTGTTGAGGCGGGCGGAGAGGACGGGCGGGACGATGGAGGAGTTGCCGGCGGTGGTGTTGGTGGCTGCTACGCAGTTCTGGAAAGAGGTGGATGTGCAGTCGCCCGAGGCGAGGAGGTCGATTTTGGAGTCGGAGAGGAGGAGCTTGTCGTCTTGGAGGGTGGCTTTGATGACTAGTTTTCCGTCTTCGACGTAGGCGTTGTCTTTGGTGGTTTGTTGGAACTCGCCGTTGCTGTTTACCGTTGATGTTAGCTAGGTTCCTAGTAGAATAATGAGGGAGGGAAAGGAGAGACATACCCAAAACCACCCAACTGCACCTCATGCTGCCACACACTGTCCCTGATCCCCTGACTCCAATCTTCATCCAGTACCAAACAGTACTTGTGCTTCACCACGGACCTGATCCCATCCCAGATGAGGAACCCCGAGATAGCCAGGCCGACAAAGATGCCGATTAGGGGGATGATAGTCACCCACTTCTCCTTGGGGTCCTTCTTCTCTGCCCATGGCTTTTCTACCTCGCCCTTGCGTACTCGGCGAGAGTGGAAGTATCGTTGGCCACCGGGAAGAACCTCGTGGTAAGCTGCTACACCACCAGAGTGCGAGGATGTGTCGAAGCTCGATGGCGGACGGGTGGGTATGGGACTAGCAAAGGGGTTCTCGTTGGTGCCTTCGTTGGAGCGTTGGGAGGCGCGGGACTCGACGCCGGAGTCGAAGTTGTGACGGCCGCTTGCGCGAGGGTCAAGCTCGTCGCGGTGGTCGTTGTCCATGGTGGTGTGTAGTCTATGGACTGATGCTGATGTCTATACAGAAGGAAAGCAACAATATGTCCAAGAAGAGATAACAGATGACAGAGCGTCTGTGTCTTTCGGAACTTGGGAACAAGACTGCGAGACCAGGGAGGTCTTGTAACAAGAAGCTGAACTTGTTGACTAAGTTGGACTCGCCGTCTTGCTATCAGACCGTATCAATGGCTCTGATAAGGCTGATCAGATAGACATTGACGTGTGGCCAGAGCGATGCCAGAAAGAAGCAAAACAAAGGTCGGGAGAAGGGGCCCAGGCCCTATGGTGTCCATATTGGGACATGGCGACCCTTCAGCTCTTGACTGTTCATTCGGGATGTTTTCGGGAAAGGTGTGACAGATAGGCTGGGCGAGGGCGGATGGACTCGGTGGCCGTCGAAGTTCTTGGGTATGGTGGTGGGAAGGACTCCGTTTGGTGTTGCAGAGACATGTGTTAATGTTTCGAAGTCAAAACGGACCAAGGGGGTATAGAGAAGGAATGGCCCGTACAGTGGTACTTGGGGCCCATGTACCTGACGGTCTGATAGGGGTAAGGGCACCAGCTTAGCGCCCATTAGTGGGTCTGGGTGGAGTAAGCCGGGAAAATGTGCCCCGCTTGAAGGGGGTTTGTGAATTTCCGACAGCCAACCCTTGAAAGCTTTGTTTGTTCTCCAAGACTCCAAGACTCCAGCATCACAATCCTTCAACTCTCCAACAACACTGCCAGATGTGACGCCCAACGCCGACCTCGTGTTTTTACACACCCGAGTCACCACCGCATTGCCTATGTTTTGCTTCTTCCCTAAGCCCAGTAATGCTCTTAAAGGCAGACGAGCAGCCGCCTGGTCCTGAATAGAGCATGATTTGCGTCAATCTTGGCCCACAATTCCCAGCTTCAGCCGCCTGCGACAATCCTGCGACAAGCACTCTTATCCCGAAAACATGACCAATCTTCAGTCCATGGCCGGTACCAAAGTCGAAAACCGGATAACCACACGAACTGAGGAACACCTGCGGGCCACGATTTAACCCCTCCAAGTGCCAACACACGCACACCCAAGAAGCACCTAACCAGCTTTTACTCCCTGGCTCCAAGGAGGCAGGGCAACTCTACCCCTCCGTTGTACAATACTGTAGTGTACTGAAACCGTCTCGAAAACTGCCCGCCGTCGTGGTACGTTAGTTGTACCGTCCCACCGTCCATTGAAAACTTCCCCCCTGTGCTTGTGTGGTGGTGCTGATGGTCTCGCTAACCAGGGACCCCCTCCAGCGATACCACTATCCTCTGCAGTGATGTGTTCTTTGCAGACACGAGGCAAGGATACTTACTATACGAGACACCGCCAATCCTTTCCAAGATTCTGCAAACATGCCAAGGGATTGACAGGCGCGGGAAACAAGAGAGCAAACCGTCTTGACCAGACGACAGCCCATACACGAATATCCAGTGTTGTTTACAAATGCCCATTCCGTATAGCTGAAGATCAACAACCACCACCTCCATTTTGGTGACGCCGTGGCTGTTGTGTAGCTCAGGGAAATCTTCCTTGTGCCTGGGATCCCGAAGGAGGAACGGGTTGGACCGTAATGGCGTCGGTCAAGAGGGTGTCGAGAACCATCATCCCCATTGGGTTAGCATTGCGAAACAACTACAAGGGTGTGAGAGAATCTCCTACCCACGCAAATCCCTTCCTTATCTCTGGAGCCGCGCGCAAAAAGAAAGGTTGCGACTTTAGCGCGGCCGCCACGGCGTGTGAAGAGAGCGCCATCTGTCATCAATCACTCGGCCACGACAATGCTTTATCGCTTGCGGCTGACTGCGACAGCTCCGACCTCCTGTCATATCAACACCAAGAATCTGCTGGTGTTGATCATGATAATGTGGCCAACAGAAGGGGTCGGGCACACACGTGGAACCAGTTAGGGCTCTTGTGGGATGGGAGCTTGATAACGATTACCAAGTCCCGTATCGTACAAAATACGGCAAGGCTGTTCGACTTGACCCGATTTCTTGGTTCAGGGGCATGTTGATAGCCAGTTGTTGGTTGTATGGGTTTCTATTTCCATGCTTTGGTCGGCCGTGTTACCGAACAACCTGCACCCTACAAGGCGACAAGTGCTCCTTGTATACAACTTGCTGACCTGCCCATGAAGATGACTCGCTCGTAGGTTTTCTTGTACTCCCCTCCGCAATTTTCATGCTGTTCAAAGCTGAGGGAACTCCCGCTGGTATCGCAAGCCGTCGACGCCATAAACGCCTTGAATCTCCGATACGAAGTCTTGGGTAACACAACTGCTTCGTTGTTCATTATGCCAAGTTTATCTTTCTTACTTCGATATCTTCCTGTAATAACGGACGATTAGTTCCGCCGCTCAAACTTCGCTGTGCAGAACACGTGGGATAGCGTTCCATTGCTTCCAACTTGCCTCCGTCCTAACCATTCTCATCGGTTCAGCTTTCCTCTCACCAATGGTTGGGTTTTATGCACAAGAGCACAACGATTCCACAGGATCAATGCAAGTTTATGCACTGACATCTCTACATTTGCTCTGGGCATTCTGCATCACTAGCCCCCTTTGAGGGTTGGAGGCCAGCCAATAATCAAGATCCGTGAGAACGCCTCATCCGCTTGGATGATCCGATTCTTGGCGCTGCATGGTACACAATGTCACCCTCCAAATTCTCGGAGTTGACCTTTGAGGCATGTGAACTTTTGGTTTGGTATCTCCAGCTGAGACAGCTGCTAGCTAAATAGGTCAAGGTTTCCAGACCGGCCGAAGATGCTAGTGGCAATTGGGTATGGTGAGCTTTTAGCATGAAGCTGAAAGGCTTCTTTTGACAGCTGTTACAATGCAAAGAAAGACAGCGAAGGTGAAGAACCATATCTTCGGTTCTGACCGAGAGCATGTCTCAGGATACTGAACCCCCACGCTTTGGCCATATCGCCCAATCGCATCGGTCCATCTTGGGTTGTCGTGTAAGTAACAACTCCCAACATCCCAAGCCACAATCACAACCACTGTTGTCATCGGCGCTGTTTCCGTACCAACATCATCAAGGGTGATACCAAAGAGATCAACAACCGCCACACCACCAACACCAACAACACATGGATGAACAACCCAACACAAGCCAAAACACCACAAGTTCCAGAACCACCCGCCTTCATCCGCCCAACCGCCCTACCGTCCATGGTAAGTTCAGCAACCGGTCAAGATCGATTTCTGGTACAGAGAGATGCGGTGTGCCAATATCGACCACGTCAATCGATACCGGCTTCTCGATAGACCGGAACTACTGTCACCTCGACATCCCGTTGACGCTTTCCAGTTTCAGCGGGCAGCAAAGTAGGATGGTCAAGGTAACATTTCAGCTCTGGTCCTTATCAGTCATCGAGGGCTCACAGCCGATAGTACCTTAGTGCGTCAAAGCATGGCCACTGGCTCACTCGATAAGTTTTCAGCAGGTAGGTCGTCCAGAGTCTAGAACTCTAGACGCATGCAATGTGAAAGCTAGTCTAGATCTGAGATGTAACGCGAGTCTCGACTCTCGACTCTCGGATACACGCCAATGGAAAGTCGTTGCATTGGTCGAGTTATGAGTTGTAACTCTTAGTGTTGAACGCATGGAAGTCTGGTTCTGATGATGCCAGTCAGTTAGGTTGGATAAAGCTTGAGCTGGATGCATTCAAGGGTCCAGAACCCCATATCGTCACACTACCGTGCTAAAATCAAATGTTTAAACATCTTCAAGAAACTCTGTGGGTAAGACTAGACTACTTCCTAGAACGGAGTTAAAACGAGAGCTTAGTCTTGACCGGGGATTTTATCCATCAGAAAGTTGCATCTTTCAAGATAAGTACGTCGTGCTAAACCTCCAACTCTTGAAGCTACTTTAGCTTGAAGCTCGACTGAGGGGGCGGGGTCAAGGCTTTCAATGGTCTAGATCACCGTACCTTATCATGACGTTTACTATGCCATATGCAACGTCGGTGGAGCTGGAGCCTTCAAAGGACGTTTCGACGTGGCCGATAAAAGCGATGCTACCTATGTCGTAGCTACAGTCCGGATACAATACCTACACTGGAAGCATGTCCGTGGACTGACTGCAAGGAGAAACGCTCTCATTTTCGAGGGCCTCATGGGGTGAAAGAAAGTGCAACGTTTCCATCTTATTACTCCGCGGAAGGAAGAAAGGTCTAGGTCTGGTCCCTCGCAACACTCGTAGTTCGCTACCTACCCATCATGGACCACACAAGATTGAATGTAAGTACGAAATCTTTAGGATCGATGAAAGAGAGAAGATCTAGACCATAAGAAAAAGAAATTGTGCTCATCACGGTGCGTAATGACTGAGTGTCCATTGTCAGATTAGCATGCAGGCATGGAAGTGTCAGATTGCGACCTGGACATTGGATGGTTGTGCTACAAGACAGAGACTGTGAATCCATAAAGAGGACTCCATGAGATTGGAAATTGGTTGTGCGGATAGACTAGGGAAGAATGAAAAGAGAAGAGCGAGGTACATGGGATCTGATCAAGATTTTGATTAAAGCTCGGAATGCCAAGATTTGGTGATAGCTTCATCTTCTTGGACCATGTTCGAGCTGTGCAATCTATAAAGGTCCTCGTCAGGGCTAAAGACGCCTCAGACCCAATGCGCCAAGGGGGAGACCGGCGTTTCAAGCCCTGACGAGTAACGAGTTTGTCACTTCGGCAAACCGTGACAATAGCTGTTCAATACAGGCAACCACACGCAGAGGGTAAAGGTCAAAGTTCCATCATCTCCGTCTTCATTCCAAAACATCTATAAACAAATGCCGTCTAAACTTTTAAGGAAAAATCCCAAGCAGAAACGCAAGCAAAAAAAAAAACGCCTTCTAGTCTATCCCCCCTTGATCTCCCTATTCGAGTCCGAAATTCCATCCAGCCCCACTGAGAAAGGCCAATCTAAACCATCTCTTTTGTCTTCCCACTCTCTTTTCCTTCGCATGTCTTCTCTACACATCCTTGGATATCGCTAAACTGCAACGCAAGATCACCATCCATGCTAGGTATGCAAAACTCCTCCTTGGCAAGCACCTAATCCTCATCCTCATCATCCGTATCCTTGGGATGCGGCGTTCCCTTGGGGCTGTTCAACCACTCAATATGCCTCAACCTCCTCCTGGCCTCGCGGTCCTTGAGGTCCTTCTTGGTCAGCTTCTTCTTCTTCTTAGCCTTGAACGTCATGCTTTCGCCTGTGACTCCGAGGCCACCGTTATCCTCGGCACCGGAGTTGACGGCAGTGCTAGGCTCGCTCTGGCCCATGGGGGTGTTCAAGCCGCTGGGGACGGCAGAGGCAGGCTGGCTGTCCTCGAAGCGGTCGAGGGCAGCGGCGTTCTGGCCCTTGTGGGTGACGCGGCCGTCGACGACGTTCCATGTCTCGGAGGCGAGAGCGCCGACGAACTCTTCGTTATGGGAAATCATAACCACACCACCCTTGAAGTCGCGGATGGCGACGGCGAGACCACCGAGGGAGTCACGATCCAAGAAGTTAGTAGGCTCGTCAAGAACCAACATGTGAGGGTTGTTCCACATGGCACCGGCGATGACGACCTTGACCTTCTGGCCACCGGACAGAGAGCCGATCTCGTTGTGGTTGGCAATCTCGGGGTCGAGGCCGAGATCCTCGAAGTGCTTGGAGATGACGGCGGGCTGGAGCTCGCGGTAACCGAGACCTTCGCGCGAGGACTCGTGGTCGTCGAATTCCTGGATGAGCTTCTGGAAGCCGAGCTCGAGGAGGGTCTCGCGAGAGATCATGGTGTTGTGCTTGGGGATGAAGCCGCGCCATTTGCTGTTGCTTGTTAGCTGCTGATCATTGGTAGACGGAGATAACGGGGGAACTTACATCTCATACTGGAAGGTCTTCTTGTACTTCTGACGACCGACCAGGGCCTCAATCTGCCTCTTGCCCTTGCCATCACCGATTTCGACAAACTTATCCATCTGCTCCTTATCGGCTTCCGTCAACTGGCGCGTCTGCTTCATGTGGACTTCACGGTCATCACCGTGCTGGTAACGCCACTGGAGGTACTGGTTGGGGGTCTTCTCGAGATGCATCTCAACGTGCTCAAGAGCGTGCTGCTTGATGTAACCGATACGGAGGTTGGGGTGCTTCTCAACCTTACCAGCGGTAGGAATAACCTCGCCAGTGAGCAACTTGATAAGGGTGGACTTGCCAGCACCGTTGGGGCCGATAATGGCCACGCGGGAGGAGAGGGTAAGCTGGCAAGTGACACCGCTGAGCGAAGGCTTGGGAGCGTTGGGGTAGGTGAAGGAGACATCCGTCATACGGATGATGGCACGGGTCTGCGACTTGACGCCGGACAAGATACCCGGAGGAGGGAACTTGAACTGGACATTGGAGGCAGAGAGGGTGTAGTAGGCCTTGGCCTCGGGGCGGACGTTGACGAATGCAGCGAGGTTGCCCTTGTAGTGGCCAAGCTTCTTGTTGGGCTCATAGTGGTAGATGTCGGTGGTGACGTTGTCGAGGAAACCGGAGTCGTGAGAAACAATCAGGGAGGTGATGTCAGTGTGCGACTTGAGGTACTCCTCCAGCCACTTGATGTTGGCAACATCAAGATGGTTAGTAGGTTCGTCGAGCAACAGGACATCGGCCTTCTGAAGCATGGCACGGGCCAAGGCGAGCTTCATCTTCCAACCACCGGAGAGCGAGCCGACCTTTTGCGACTGACGACCCTCGGGGCCAGATGTGAAACCGAACTCCTCAAGAACGGCGGAAATGCGCTCACGACCCTCCGAGGCAATGGTAGGATCCTTGACCATGAAGTCGAGAATGCTGATATCGGCATCCTCACCCTGGTTGTGCTCAACGTAGCAGGTACGGAGAACATCCTGGGAAGGGAAACCCTCGAGCTTGCCGGAAGCAATGGCCTTCATGAGGGTAGACTTTCCGGCACCGTTGCGACCGCAGAGACCGTAACGGTGACCCTTGAGGAGGCGGAGGTTGGTGTGCTGGAGCAAAAGCATACCACCGTAGGCAAGGGAGAAGTCGGCATTGACAATCTCAATCTCGCCGTCATCCTCCTTCTCAGGAACACCATACTTGATGGCATCCTCGTCAACGTAGTGCTTCTGAACGGCCTCGCCGACAGCGACGGGGTCAGCGACGAGGAAGTTGAGGTAAGGGCCGGTTCTGGCGGCGATGCGGTTGCAGTGACGGTGGTTGACATCCTCGGCGACCATCTCGCCAACGTACTTGCGGACAGCCTGATAGACGACGGGGTCACCAATAACGCCACCGGCCTTCTGGACCTCAGCGTCCAAGACCTTGCCAACGTCCTCAGCGTGTGTGCGCTCGATGACCTTGTCCTGGTCGCTACCCATGGCCTTGTCCATCACAGCAAGAGCGCGAGTGGCGATCTCACGGACCTCAGGAAGAGAAGCGCGGTCGACAACACTCTTGATACCAGGCTGGAGCTTGGGAAGGAAGGTACGGGCCTCGATGGGGTCGTGGACGAGCTTGGTCAAGTTCTCGGTAATGACGACAGTCTGGCGGAGGACTTCTTGGGGAGTGCCGGGGTTGCTAAGAGAGCGCTCCAAGAAGGGAGTAAGCAGGGCGAGGACAGGGGCGGTGACGATGGCGACGAAGGTGGTCATGGAAAGGGCGTGAATGGCCTTGTGGACGGTCGCAGTCGAAGGGTGCTGCATGGTGTCGATAAGAAGAGGAATGCGAGGACCGACATCGTCGTTGGAGAGCAGGGTGGTAAGAGCGTTCATAGTCTTGACAGCCTGCTTGGCGACCTCGTTCTTCATGTCAAGCATACCACCCTCGACAATGGGGATCAAGCGGGCGAGCTTGGTGCCCATAGCCTCGCGGAGAACATCCTGCTCAGCAGCCTCCTCCTTGGTGGTACCAATTGTGATTTGAGCCTTGTTGGAGATCTTCTCGATGAGCTGGTAGGCACCAATGGTTCCCTGCCACTTGCCGGTGGGCTTCTCCAGGTACGCAATGAGGGCAGGGAGAAGACCAACGACGAGAGCCTCGGGGCTCAGGTTGTTGTAGAGAGCATCGAGACCGTATTGGGCAGCCTCGCGGACGACGGCACCCTTATCGGCAAGGGCGTCGAGAGCGCATGCGACAAGGCCGGCTTCAGAAGATGTGAGGAGGGTCTCGCTGGCGGGCTGACGAGGAGGGAACTTCTCGAAGAGGGCACCGAGGAGGTTCTGGGCGCCTTCGCGCTTGAGACCGCTCTTCTTGTCGGCGGCGGCCTTCTTGAGGTCGGTGAGGACACCGTAGAGTTCGAGGCCACGGTAGCCGTAGGACTGGAGGAGGACTTCGCAGAGACCGTAGGCGGCGTCGATGGAGGCTTGCGACGTCTTTGCGGTGAAGACAGTGTCGAGGATAGAGGACACATCGGCCTGGCTGACGGGCGGCGCGGCGCCATCAGCAACCATGATAGGGACTGTCATTTTTTTGTTGGGTTTTCTGGTATTTGAAGAGGGGAGATTGGGAATGTCTGGTTAGAAAAGAAACGGTCTCTGATAGGGACCTGGGCCGAGAAATGCCCGTGGCGACACAAGGCGGAAGGGAGAAAGGGAGCCTTGGTGATGCTGTCGCAAACGCAGACAGATGGATGGCGGGTGTTTTGGAGGTGAAGCAAGAGAAGAAGAGGAAAAGGGAAGGAAAAAAGCAAAGGCTCTGCACAATGCAATGTCTGCCTCTGCTTGCTGGAGTCGGAGTGCAGTGGACTGGAACGAGAAAGGGAAGGCGGTGGCGGGTCCCTGGCTGGCGGTGGACTCTGGGGCACGGGCAGCCCGCCCGCGCTGTCGGTGTCTTTTTTGGTGGAGGAACCCCTCTAAACAACTGACAGCGAAACAAAAGAGCCCCACCAAAATTCTTTTTTTCTCCCCTTGACTTTGTCTTTTGTCATGGGTCAGCCGGATCTTATCAGTGGCTTATCAGCTTATCGCTGCTTACCGGCTTCAATGATTGGTCGATATGGTCCCCCGTGCTTACATACGTGGATCCCATTCGGTCAGCCAAGACTTTTTCTTTCAGGGTCTTGCCTGCGCCCCCTGTCGGTCCTAGCGGGCATCTTGTCGGGCATGTGCTGGCAGTGTCAGTGCGCCCTCCAGCTGTCAGGGCTGCCGGCATCAAAACCATCAAGGTCCTCGAAATGAGAAACCCGACAGCATCAACTCCTCGACGGTCTGGAAATCGCCGGAAAATTTTGGAGATGTCAAGAGGGTTCATTGCGGTCGTGTACGTATCCGTCAGTATACTTGACATAGTTCAATGCAATTAGGCCTGTGTGCTTTCTGACAGTCCTCGAGTGTCTGACATGAGTTTTCGCAACGGTCCGGCTTTCCTGTCCTGACATGCCCCATTGGATTTTGTAGTCTTGATAAGTATATCTCTAGTCTTCGGCTCAGAAAGCCAGCGCCACAATCTGATATGATTGACGATTTCATCATCCAGTTCCCTAGCAGGTACCAGTAGGTGCGGTGAGTGGAACGGCCAAGAGAAAGTGAAATGTCATCGTTACCTCCATCATCTGGAAGTATCTACCCGTCCTCCACCTTTCACCTCCTGCTCCTTCCCTGCCTCAAACAACCTAACACACCAACAAACCCGCCCCTTCCCAAACAAACGCAAACAGTCCTTCATAAGCCTACCCTTTGCTGCCACATCCCAACAAGAACCCCCAAAAAATACCCTACTGGTGTATCGGTTAACATGGCGGATTCTCAAACTCATTCCACACAGAGTGCAAGTCTTCCGCAGCGCAGGGTTCAACTCCCTGGTAGGGTAATCTTTTTTCTCTGTTTTCTTTTGGGTATTTCTTTTCCAGCATATGGTCTCACTTCCAAATCTACCAACGACTGCCAAATGTCGAGTGCTCCTGTATTTGACCGATTTTTCTATGGTGGCCAAGTTACCACTTTGGTACTAACGAATCTGACCTACCGACCTATACCGACGCCATCGGAGACTGCGTTCCAGACCCGAATTACATACCTTACCTTCATGCAGCCCTACAAGGCTGAGTCTCACTGTCTTAGTCTCACTGTCCCACCGGCGGTCGGCACCGAGGGACTGGGGAACGGGAGCGGGATGTGAAAGTGTGAACGGCGCAGTCCCCCCACTAGTCCTTTTACGATACCGACGGAAGCTTGAGTGACGCCGCTGCGTTCGAGGCCATCCCGGTAGAGGTAGATTGGGACTCGGACCGAAAAGTGTCAGCCACCCCGGGGTTGTCCAGTAGGGCTGTAGTGCTGTAGGGGGGCGGTTAGTAGGCACCATAGGCAAGAACCTCTCACCGCTTCCGTATTCTACTGTGTAGAGGTGATAAGCGCGGGTGGTTACACAGAGTTTGGAGACCTCTTTGGCGGCGGGTTAGTCATTGTTAAGATTTGGCACGTTACATTAATACATGGGAATTGTGCGGTCAACAACAATCAGTTTGTCTAAAGGTACCTGTAGGTAGGTAGATGTTGGGGGCGATCAGTTCGTTCAGAGCCTCAATGTCTCCCAATGAGCACCGAGCCTGTATAACACAAAACCTACCTTACCTATAACAATGTTGCACCGCGTTTACCTCTGTCCTCTACTCATCTCACGTATCACAAACGAACAATTTACCGCGTTCCAAGCCACCAATTCCGCCAATTCCGCTACCATCCAATGGGATTCTGAACTGTAAGAACTTTGCAGACAACTAAGCCTTGTGAAGTTATTGCATTGTATTTCGTACCATGACCACTTGTATCCTCCTCCCGTAAAACGTCAAGATTCAGTACCTACTCATTACCCCCAAACTTTCGTAGCCGCTAAGCCTCCGAGTTACCAAGTACTTTCTTTGAGAAGCACCCACTTTGCACCGGAAGACTTTCTCTTCTCTAAACAGATGCAAGTCTAACGTAGCCTTTTGCCTTATGCCTGTAGCTGTAGTCCGTATTTTACGCTGCCCTCTTTTGTTGCAGTAACTGCACTATGTGAAACTAGTCTACAAATGTCAGTCTACATGTGTGTATAGCGGGAGAAGAGCATAGGCACATACCGCCCATTGATGGCTTATTTTCTCGGAGTAGGCGGGGGGCTCGGCACATTAGGTCTCGGAGCGAGAGGTCCTGGTCTGGGCGTCGGTCCGGGGGTAGGCGGTCGGGGAGGGTTGGGGAGGGTGGTGAAGAGAACAGGAACTGAACGAGGTAACTCGGCAGAGAAGCATGATGAGGAGGAGAAATAGCTGTCTTCGTCGGTGGGGGTCAGTCCGACAGGGACTTGGGAGAAGGAGGGAAAGGTGAAGATGGCGATGTCGGTGGATATCATCTTCACTTCTATTGAGAGTAAAAGTGGCGGCAGTGAGCGAGAGCGAAATATTTGCGGGACGAGAGTAGAAGTAGTCCAAGTGCTTGGGGTTAATCGCGTCTCGAATGAGCAAAAACTAGGAGGAACTGGTCACAGTTGAGGGTATCTACAGTGTAAAAAGACCAGTCTCAGGCGATGAGGCATCATCTCTTTTATACTTGGACGTAAAATATCAATTTGGGACGAGAACAACCGCGTTGTAGCCATGGTGTCAAGTCCGGCGGTGAACTCATAACGATGAACGCTCTTGCGCAAAACTAAGCTTCTCTCGCAGCCCCCAACAACGCGTGAGTCCGCAGGGCCCCAAGGCACCAACAAGAGCACTGCCATCGAGGGAAAAGAAGTTGCCGTAGGTGGACCTTTCGTTCGGTGGGTCTGTGAACCACTGTAGCAAGATGAAGACGAGTTCCATAAAATGACTCCTCGGTCGTTGCTGGGTCGTCGTCGCCAACGACAGGTAACATGGTCTCACTCCTGACTCTTCAGGCCACGAGACCAGGTGTCATTCCATCATGCTCGCGAAGCCGCGTTGACAGACCAGGGAGGGCATGCTCCCTCGTTCCCGAGCATGGTAGTGGGCACCCACGGCAGGAACCGTGTCGGGTAGTCCGGTAGGTGTGTCTCTTGGTGGGTACATTCGAGAGCCTGAGCTGTGCTTGTTGGGGGTTTGTGGGTGGGCCGAAGCGATGGATCCGACGGAGAGAATAGGTACAAAGTCCATACGGGAGACACAGCAATGTCGTAGATGATCTGAGCCTCGGTCCTAGATTGAGTTTGTGGCGCGATTAGGGCGGTGAGAACTCTTGCCTACCGGGTGCTGCCTTGGGGTTTCGCACATCCAGTTCTTGTCATGTGCTCTACTGTTTGCAGAAAGAACGTGGGAGAGAGTAAGAGAATTTTTGGGGGGTAGGCACATGGAAAGAGAGATGACATTCTGACATTGCAGAGAGTAAACACGAGCAAAAGAATCCAGCCGAACCATGATGAATCACCTGTATTAGTGACTTTGTTGCCACGCACACTTGTGCCTGAGTTAGGATGTGTTTGGACCCGTTGACGTGGTGGTGTACTTGAAGGGCCTGTTGAGCGCCTTTGAGAATGATCTCGGACCAGTACCAAGCTATTGGAACTGGCAACGCCGACCCGACTCGGCGGTACCGTACTGTCCAGGAGCCTCCAAGTGCCGGCTCGGTTTCCTGGTCGCATTGTGGCGCAATCGCTTGTATCCGAGACAGAGAAACTGGCATGTTTCCCCGGATACGCGCGGCACATGATGGATGGCGCAGCCTCGGGCCCACGTGTAGGGCTGACCGAATGTGTTCCCAAATATTTCAAGATTGAGAAATGCATGGTTCGCTTGGTCATCTGTGGGTTTACTGGTAATCGGGCCTGTTTCGTGGTTGTTATAGGGGTCCGACCATCAGGTAAATAGCTTTGTAATCGCGGATGATGAGGCTCTGAGATGTGATCTTCATGATGCAGATCATCAAGAGTAGGTAGAAAGAGTCATCTCGAATTCCAGGCAATGGGGTTGACGTTGCGTATTCTAGCGAGGGAACACGAATCGCCAGGGTATCCAACGACTGTCCGGATCTCGGTTAGCAGATGTCATTGGTCAGGTGTTGATGACATGCATCCAACGACAACGGGAAAAAACGGGTTTGGGAATGTACTGGCGGTATAGGCTTCCAACATGGTACACGAAGTACGAGATGGAACATCAGGTTGGTTCGAATGGAAACAAATATTACCCATGCTTGGTGAGACCGGATGTAGCTAGGCAAGACGGAAAGGAGGATAGGGCAGACGAAAATGGATACACGATCCGAAGATAGCTTATGAGAGAAATCTTCCACATACCATCAAGGATTGAAACGGACGCCGACGAGCAACGATGTTGGAATCTCGGATGATATCTTATTCTTCGTATTCATGTCTCTCTGGGACCAACGTCAACAATCGTCGGCAACTATCTTGGGATTCGGATCGGATCGCGAGATGTTCGTCAGGCGTCCTGTACAAACGATGTAAGCTAACACGAAACCCCCTTTTCCCTGTTATTGGTACAATACTCCCTCCAAAAGGGAATGACACTCACACCGGACCTGTTGTTGTCCAATTTTATCTCCTCCACTTTTCCCTACCTCGCCCAACGCCTAATGCTCCAATTAACCGATTACCCTCTACCTTGACCCATGGATCGCGAGGATTCTCCCTCAGGCTGGTCCACCTAACCCCTGCGCGAGGGATGCACCTAACGTCTGTCCCAATCACGACTGCGGCTGCGGCTCCTGCTCCTGCGATCGTAGCTGTCGTAACTAGCGCGGCTAGGACTCCTACGTCCTCTGCCGTCCACGTCGTTTCTTCCACCTCTACCACCGCCTCCTCGGCTACCCTTTCCGCCTCTCGGGCTAGGAGAGCGTGAGCGGGAAGACCAAGAGCGTGACCTGGACCGATACCTCCTGTTTCCTCCAGACGCCGCCACAGGCGAGCGCGAGCGGGATCGTGACCGCGACACCGACCGAGGTCGATAGGTATCGGAGCGATGTGCGTGACGTCCACCACCACGGGGTCCGGGAGATCTGTTACGGCCGCCGCGGCCTCCTCCTCTGGGTCCCGGCGGGGGTTGGCGGGGATCGTAGTTGGCCCCCCTGCGAGCGGTAGGTGGGGAAGGAGAGAATTTGCGGCGGGGGAGGACAATGGAGACGTTGATAACGGTGCCGTCAAGCTGGGCTTCGTGCATGTGGGCGATGGCGGCTTCGGCGTCGGCTTCGTGAACGTAGAGGATGTAGGCTGTGCCACGGTTTGTGCGGGCTGGACGTAGTACCGAGTTAGCAGTTGCCACAGTGAAGGGTCAGAAGAGGCATAAGGGAGCTTACATGTCCTGTTAAGAGGCAGATCCAAATCCTCAATCTCTCCAAACTGGCCAAAGATCTCGCGGAGGTGGTTCTCGTTGATGTTCTTGGTCAGGCGCTCGACGACAATCTTGGTGCTCCTGACCGGCTGTACTGGGCTCGGGCTACGGGTTGGGCTTCTGGATCTCGAGCGACTGTCTCCTCCACGGCTGTAGCTCCTAGCGCGAGCGGGTGGCGGGCTCAGGCTACGACGACCACCACCGTTCCTGCGGGGCGGCGAGCGACCTCGTTCACGGTCGAGGGAAGCGTCTCTGTCTCTGAGGGCGGGCGAGGGTTCGCGCGAGTAGTCGCGGGCGGAGCGAGGTGTGGGAGAACGGTTGCGGCGAGGAGATCCAGACCGGGAGCGGTCGTCGTCGTAGCGGTCGGCCGACCGAGACCTCGAGCGGGAGGCCATGGTTGGTGGTGATGATGTGGTGGTGATGATGTGGTGGTGATGTGGTGGTGATGTAGTTGCTGCTGTGGAAAGATGTGGTTGTGCGCGAATCGCTATAGTAACTCTGGTTGTAAGAATGCTGTAGAATGGACTGTAGCTATAGTACGCGATCGTAATTCGGAGAGTCTGCTGTCGCGAGCTGTGTGGTGGGGATGAAGAATGGTGATGTTTGATGTTTGGTGAAGGATATTTGCCAATTGCTTTTTTTTGTTCAGTTCTTTCCACTGAAACCAATTGCTGCAAAAGTCCCGACGCGCCTCTTGCTTCAGTGGAGCTCCAAAACCGCGGCGAGCATGCACAGACCTCTTTTGCTCTTTCGTCCCTTGGTGGGGCTCATAAAGCAAATGCTGTCTCACGTGATCCCCCGCATTGTCTTCACCAGCTCCTTTCTGTTTCCACTCTGCTTCTTAGCGCCTACGTGATGATCCACTGTGGTTTCTCTTGGCAACCTTATTTCCATGTTTTTGTTTTCGAGAATGTTTTGAAGCTTCCAAGACATCATCGCGAAATCCAGGAAGGGATCAGCGCAACGTTTTTATGCATGACAACCATCCAGGCGTATTCGTATCCCAGCAATCGACGGTTATGCGATTCATTTGATTATCACCAGCAACGATTCATCGTCACCATGAGGCCCTTGGAGTGGTCTCAATGTCCTCTGGACTTGACGATGGACATCACCTCAATTCAACGATCCAAAAACGCAGTGAAGCCAAGCCGACCGGGCCACAGTTGACCTCACCATGGCGGCACATACTTGGACGTTTGCCGTGGGTGAAAACAAGGAAACTTGGCACGAAGCTTGTTCGAGAAAAGCATTCCACGCCGACACCTCAACCACTCACCTTTCTTAGTGTCCGACGATGATGGCATTTTCCGCGATCGTGGTCTAGGCCCGAAACCCTGCATCAGCCATGGACTATTTGTTTTTCTGGGTCCTGTCTTCAAGCTTCAGGGTCCTGTTGGGCCGTTGCACCCCCGCCGCCATCGTCATTTCTGGGCCTCCTCATTGGAGCGCGTTTGCTTCAGGCCATTCAAAGGGTCCTGTCACCCTCCTTCACCAACCGGATTTGACGTCATGTTGTTGATCGCCGCCAACGACGTCGTCAACCATCATCATCAAACATGTTCAAAAGCAGGTTTCATCGGGTGCACAAACGATCATGGCTGTCTTCGTGGAGGAATAGAAATACCATCTCAAGTGCTGCTTCTCTATTTTCAACAACTTCATCTCCATCGATAACCACCAAGCAACTCATACAAGCCAAAGCAGCCCCTGAACATCCTTCTCCCTCAACAACAACAACAAAAACAAACAACGACACACAACAACAACCATCAACATGCCTCTCTTCTCCCGCCACGCCGAGCCCGAGCCCGCCCCGGCCCCCGTCCACCACGAACCCGCTCCCAAGCGCCACTCCCTCTTCGGCGGTTCCTCTCGCCACCGCTCCCCCTCCCCCGGTTCCCCCACCTACTCCTCCGCCTCGGACCGCAACCGCTCCACCAGCCGAGAGTCCGGACATGGAACTCAGCGCAAGGGCAGCCTGTTGTCTCGCACCTTCGGCAACGGCACCTCGACCAGCCACGACGTCGATCCGTCCATCGTGCAGGCACGCGAGCGCGTCATGATGGCGGAGGCTGCTGAACGCGACGCGGATCGAGCGCTGATGGCGGCCAGGGAGAATGTGAGGCAGGCTAGGGAGCATATTAGGGCTCTGGAGCTCGAAGCCCAGGAGGAGGCGAGGAGGGCCAAGATTAAGCAGTATCATGCTAAGGAGGTTAGCAAGAGGGGGAAGCAGTTGGGACGTGAGTACTCCTTTTCTGTTCTTGGGGTGGGATGATTGTGGACGTGATGCTAACGGTGATATCATGATAGGTCACGGCATTTAAGCGCTTGCTTCCCACCAATCATCTATTCTACGAAAGATGGCCAACGCATTTTCTTCTTTTAATCTTGTTTTAATACGTTCTCATTTTGGCTTTTGTCAGATTATGATATCCACATGCACACGGAGAAGGAGTTGAGAGTTCATTGTACAAGGTGACATAAAGAGGGAAGTCACCATTAGCACAGCACGAGGATGAAGCATGGAGTTCAGTTGTGTTATTTGGCTTTCCAATCAATCAATGTCAATTTCCCTTTTCGCTGTCCAAATTCCAGTCGCTTTCCAAACCCAATTTGCTTGCCAAATACAACCCAAAACGCCAGCATACCCTGTGTTCCAAGACACCACCATGATCACCATCCAACCTGCCCGTGACAGCGAGGTTGGCTTTTGCGGTCGGGCGTGGGAAGGACGGTCCAAAGCCTGAAACCAATCAAGAGACCGAACCAATCATTGTTTCTGGACATAGCCCATCAGATCTCTCGCAGTCGAGCGGAAGAACGGCCCAAGGCCTGCACTGTAAGCGTAGCCAAGATCCCAAGGTGGAGATCCAAACCCAATGCCAAATTCGGTATCTTGCTTGCTCTCAACCCTAGTATCCTGCCTGCTTTTCAAGCCCTGGACCATCCTCCCGCTCGACTGTAAAATCCCCAACTCTATTCCAGACGCAATGACAAATTCGGGATCGTGAACTACTTTCGAGCTCTGGACCAACCACCCTTCCCCTCGGATGCAAAATCCAACCTCGCTGTTACGGGCAACCTCTTCTTGCTGTCACGGGCAGCTTCTCTTTGCTGTCACGGGCAGCTTCTCTTTGCTGTCACGGGCAGCGTCTCCTGAAACAAATCAACCATCATGGTCAAATTAGTCTCCCAATTCATCCTCTTGAATTTTATCCTCTTGAGTCACGGGCTCAATGCTCCAGCCGGGCACCTCTTCTTCATCCTCTTGAGTCACAGAGTCAATGATCCAACCGGCACAACCCTCCTCAAGGCCAGCGACGTTCCGTTGGGTGTATGTTCTTCGCGCGCAGCGGCGGCAGTAGCGGCGGCGGTGACGGTGGGGTTCGAAGTGAAAGGTGTTAAAGAGGGCGATGTCGTGTTGAGTGGCCCGGTTTAGGAGGATTGCTGGATTGTGTGAGGGGCTTTTTTCGAGCCTCCACAAATTCAACTCGATGAGGTTGTACACCCCGGTTCTCTTGTTTCTTTCGGGGGTTGGTTTCACGTAGGAGGGCACATCCCACTTTTCCAGCTCACGATCATCATCCCCATGCCACTTCGTAGCCGAGTCCTCGGGCACGATCTCCACGTCGAGGCGAACGTTTTCGAAAACGACGGATTCGTCTGCGGGTTTGTTGTGGACCTGGTCGTCGAGTTCAATCTCGGACGGCATTTGCATGGATTCGACCCACTGCCCGATCTCCCGCCAGCGATCTGGGCCAAGGATAATCGCACCAACGTGAATGCCCGTCGGGGCAAACTTGCTCAGTGGTGTGTTGAGGGTCTCTTTTTTTACGCGGGTCATCTGCATTACCTCCTCGTAGGTTGGCAAGGGTCTTCGGTCGAGAGAAGGTTTGTGGTGCGAGTTTTGCTTGTTGATGAAGGGCTCCATGTTGAAGGCGTCAGCACACACGGGCATCTGAAAAGAAGACATAAAGAAAGAGGAGATGTTGTCGAAAGGTCTGAATGTCGATAGTTCAGAAAGAGTGAGAATGGCAGAAACGTCCGAGTTCGAAGTATGGTTGTCGGTGGTTCGGAGCAGATGCAGCTGAAGAGAGAAGCGTTTATATAATAGATGTGCTGGCTGATTGGAAAAAAAGGACGGTCACTCAGAGGTGAGGAATGTCGTCTGCAAAATACGGACTTCTGAGAACTATACGGGCATCGATTTTATTTTCCTGTCCGTCAAGATAAGGTAGACTCCATGCATAACTGCAGATATATGCGTTTTCTTATGGGGGGCGACTTTGAATGTCCGATATATCCAGGAAACCTCGCACCATCATGCATTTTTTTGGGACCGGCGCCAGACTGCCGGAGTCTGCATGTAAGGTACAGGTAGTCGACGCCTCGTATCAAAAATGTAAGGTGAAATTACGTCGAGAGGGCTCGGGGATATCGGCGAGTGATTGCAAGAATACACCTCACGTGTACAGTGTAATGTCGCCGTAAAGGAACCGGCCGCGTCGTTTCCGAATGGGGCAGCCCCGTCTCTCGTAGCTCCGCCGGCTCCGGCCGCGGCGGCGCTAGGTCGCCCACTTGGGCTTAGAAAGTCCGTTGCAAAACTGTAGCATACATCATGATAAGCTGAGGCATGTCAACGAGAGTCTCTTGGCCATCATATCCGTTGACGTACAAAATGGTTTAAATTTAGGTCAAAATGTATTACTAAAGACAGATGTGCAAGGAGCGTCGAAGAGTATCCCGAGGGTCTAGAAATCTAGACCGCCACGTGTTTGGTTTACTCAAACGAATGCTTAATCGGACCTCTGTCACATCGTTTTCTTCTATCTCGTAGTCTAAATGTTGTTGGGCAAAGCTCAAGTTCAATCGTTCTCGAATCCCCGATACCTTTGTGTATGAGAAAACCTCAGCACACTCCAAGACAAACCTACGCGCACTTTCCTCCCATAAATAACCCTATTAATCTGGCTCTGTTCATGGCCATTCCTCTCCCGATGCCTCCGCGCCCTCTCCTCATCAGCCTTTCGAACCTGCTCGCAATCGTCGTAGAGACGGTCGCAGGAGGGGCAGCGGTAGGTGTCTGACATCCATTCCAGCCAGTCGTGGAGGTCCTGGGCGCTGTCGGAGGGGGAGCCAGGGCGGCGCGGGACCATGGTTAGGTTATCCTCTTCGTCGGAGTCAAGGTCTGAGACGTCGACGTGGAAGGAATCGTTGGAGTCCGAGGCGTCATCGGGGATGGAGAGGCTGGAGGCGCTGGAGATGCTGGAGAGAATGGACTCAACGGAGGGGAGAGATGGGACGGGAGCCTCGGGTTGGGAGGACCAGCAGATGATTGAGGCGGTGGGGGAGGTCATGCTTCGTGGCACGGGGTGGTCCGAAGGGTAGACTCGATCCATGATGTTGGACAGGTTGACGAGACCGTAGGAAATGTGTGGGTTCGTTTTGTTGCGGAAGGCATTTCTTCTTTGAGGGGGATACTTGCTTGGTTTGGACATATTGAACGAAGGTTGACAAGTGATCGTTCTGGTGGGATGCAGTACTCGAGCGATGGATAATGGAGATGAAGGATGATTTGGCAGTGGTTGTGGAGGAGGAAAGGGGAGGAAAAGACTGTGAATGTGAATGTGAATGGGAGGTATATATAGAGGTAACCAAGTAGAGGTAGGTATGCAACGGAGTTTGGAATGGAGGGAAATATTGAGTCCCTCGGAGCCCCGAATACTCATTGCGCATGCAATGCAGAGTACGGAGAATTGCTGTCCGACAGCTTTGTTTTATCTTCCAATTTCCTTTTGCCTTCCTGCAGCTGTTCTGCCTCCCGTCCTCCGTATGCAGATGCTCTGTGTCCTGGCATGTTACTATCGGACTTCCCTATAGATGCATGACCGTAAAAGCATGATATCGAACATGCCGACCACATTTCTGCAGCCAATGGACCAATAGCCACCCAACAAGACGCAAATGCAATTCTTATTTTCTGCCCGCGACCTGGCCGTCCCACTGTGCATGAAGAGTGATTGAAAAATATTCCACATTCGCCGCCCTAATGTACCTCTATAAAAGAATCTTTCCAACTGACCCAAGGAATTCTTTCTTTTCTTCCACAACCACAACGCTATATCTGAACGAGCATCTAACCTTGTTCCCTCAAAAAGGAGCTTCGAACAGAAAGACTTCGAACTCAACCCTTTCATACTCAAGCCCTTCTACACCCATACCCACGACTCAAGGCCTTCAAGCTGAAGCCGTTCAAACTCAAGCACATCCAATAACCAAGATGCCTCACCAATCCTCTTCCGTCGTCCCGCCTCTCCAGGCCTCGACCCCCACCATCTCAAATGGCAGCGATCCCGCCGACAACGCCGCGTACACATCAAGCACCACGTCTGATTGCCAAGACTGTAAGTTCATCGCCCCCATGTATGATGTCCACAACGACGACATGGCCAGGCACTTACACAGTCACACTCCAGACAACCAAGCCCCCCAAAGTGGAAAGGGCTACAATAACACCTGCTGGTGCATCTATTGCCTACAGCCGCAAGTCAAAGCCGACATGGCTTACACCCTCGACCTTCAGCACCCTTCTTTGCTTCGAGGCAGCACCAACGCCGACGTCGACGTCGACGTGAGAGCTGCAACACCTACAGCTACAACACCCGAGGAGGAAGAAAATAAAATGGACGAGACAGTGCAGGAGAAGGCCCAAAGGTTTTTGAAGGCCGCACCTGCGGGAATAAGCCCGAGCCTGCGGGCATTGATGGAGAAGGTGGCGAGGGGGGAGAAAGTTGAGGAGGAGAAAATTGAGGAGGATGAGGAGGAGGAAGAAGAGGAGGAGGAAGAAGAGGAGGAGGAAGAAGAGGAGGAGGAAGAAGAGGAGGAGGAAGAGGATAAACCGAGTGGGGATGAATTAACATTAGAGGAAAAGGCCCAAAGGTTTTTGAGGAACGCACCTGCGTGGATAAGCCCGAGCCTGCGGGCAACGATGGAGAAGGTGGCGAGGGGGGAGTGGAATCCGGATGAGGAGGAGTCTGAGGATGAAGAAGAGGAGGAGGAAGAAGAGCAGGAGGAAGAAGAGGAGGAGAAGGATAAGCCGGATGGGGATAAATTGGATGAAACATTGGAGGAAAAGGCCCAAAGGTTTTTGAAGAACGCACCTGCGGGAATTAGCCCGAGCCTGCGGGCAACGATGGAGAGGGTGGCGAGGGGGGAGATTAGGCTGGAGGATCCAGCACCCATGGGGATAAGCAATCGCCTGTATGCATGGATGGAGAAGAAGTTGTCAGTTTGGTGGGTCAAATATCTAGACAGTAAGACGAGGGCTCTGTATGAGAACTAGCCTCCCAGCCACCCCAACAGCGCTGCAGACTTTCCTAATACATGTACTCTGGGATCCTCCAACCTGTGTGCACAGTCTTTCTACTCCACACTCAATCAATACATCGATTTACCCATATTCTTTAGATTCACACAACCGTGCATTCTGACAGATGTCATGGGAGGAGAATTGTTTCTTAGGGATCGATGTGTGTATATCCTTTCTCGAGGTTTGTAAATGCCATAGAATTTTCCTTCTACTGTCCCCGAGTTTCAAGCCGCACGAACGACATCCTCCGTCCGCATCCTCCTTAGCAGTGTCCGTCGTTCCCAACATCCAGACTTCCGAATCAGCCCCAACACTATAAGGATGATCAGTGAAACCAAAAACTCCAATGACAGCGAGTACGTCATGGGGAGGTGTCCGGTGGAAAGGATATGGTTCTGGTTCGAGGTTGCTTCCGTCGTTGGTGGTCATGTTGGTGTGCGACCCGGTGGAGTCCCGAGCATTTGACATGGTGATGATGGTGGAGATCAGGTGTGTGGACTGGAATGGAAAGGCCGGAAGGCCCACAACAAGGATGGAGGTGAGAAAAAAGGAGATGATTGATGACAGCCCAGAAGACTTGGAACCTGAGTCCAGAGAAGAAACTAGAGAATTATAACAGGTCTGTGGGAAGCGTTGAAGATTTAAGGCATGGAGATGTGAAGGCGATAGGAGGCCTTTGCTTGGTCAAGGGGGGTGATTGTTTCCAGGTTATCATGACCCACAGGTACCTCTAGTTGACCACTCGACAAAGACATCATTGCATGAATCAGAGCCTGTTTTGACAGTATCACACGGAAAAAGGACTATTCTCCTTGTATACCTCTACTTAGTTAGATGGCAGCATCCGTTCAGGCCAGCGCTGTGAAGTGTCAGGCTTTCTCTCGGGCTGGGATATGCGGGATTTATTACACAGATGCCAGAGAGTTTCGAGTCTATAGAGCCTTCTTATACAGTTACACACAATCAAGCCACATTGACCCAGATCCACATTATCGATATTATCACAAAAACACCCCCAAAGCACAAAAGGTCATGCGCAGGGTTTTGGAGCATTTGGAACAAGAAGCGCTCTTCCGGAACCTTCCCTTCTTCTCCTCGTCCCAACCGCTACAACACAGGCCGTACGTAACCGACGCCCCAAAAAGGGTGATGGTGATGATGACTAGCCCGGTGATGGCAATCGCAACGACTCCGCCAATTTTCATCCCGGCTTTTTTGATCTTTTCGACTTTTCCGGTTGCCGTCGGCTTCTGAGTGGATGCAGATCTGGTCACATCGCGGCCGCTGGTCGGTGTTGCGTCGCGAGCTTTGTTCACATCGTGGGATGCTACCTCAACAGAGTGATCACTACGCGATGGGGCATCGAACGATCGTACGTGCAAACGCTTCTTCGATTCACTCGTCGCATCGTTGTTTCCAGGGTCAGTTACTATCTCTCAAATGCATCGTTAGCGCTACTATTCTTATCACTCATCTGCCCCTATCACCAATTCCCCCCTTTTGGTTCCTTCTTCTTCTCCCCAATGGCCACTTCAGCTCTCATCTACCGGTGGCGGTAACCCCTCCTCATCCTCCTGCTCATTTCATACTCCTCATCAGCCCGCGCCCGCGCCCTTCTCCTCCGCCTGAGCCCGACGTAAATACCGATAACAAGGGCGACACCAAACAGACCTAACAAAGAGTATCCGACAACTTCACCTGAGCTGCGACCTCCACCCTTTCCATTACCACTAGGCGGTGGGGGTGGGAGCGGGTCATGGTAGGGCTGGCCTTCTTGTCTTCTTTCCAGTTCGAACGGGTTGTCCTGTACTTTATCCTCCTCGCCATCGATCAAGGTGATATCTGTCTTACCTTCTTGGCTCATAGTAACCGGGAGAGTGATAGTTTGGTGCCCCTCTTCGGTGGTTAGTGCCCGAGTCTCTAAACTTGAATCGTCGCTGGTAAAGGGATACACTCCACGCACGCCCATCGACCCTATAAATACGCCATCTTCCCCTGTGTTAGCTGTTATATAAAACAGGCCGTATTTGCTGTAAAAAACTAGATTTTCAATGTTTCTAACATTTAATATAAGTCCCTGGGTTATTGTAAGTGCTGTGAGTGCTGTAAAGCCGTATATAAGACTGTTTATCAACAATAAGCACTTCAAAATATACGATTCATACACCAAAACAGGAAAGATGAGGCTTTTAAAACGTATATATTGCTACAAAGTAAACAAAGAAAGGAATCGCTAATCGCTCAAAACAATAGCATTATCTTTATTACCTGGCTATATCTTACGAGGGTTAGGGTCACGTAAATTAAACTACCTATAGAGGAATATATCTTCTTAAGTGTCACGGGTCTACTGGGTGTGCACAGCAGTAGGGGTGGAACAGAGCTTGAGATTGTTGACAAGGAGGAAGTTCTGCAGGCCTGAATAGGTCTGCAAAGATATAGCTATATATTGGAATAAATAGGTGGCTTGATTGGCATTGGCTAATTAGAGAGTATACCTGGGCCTATAGCCTGGGCACCACATTTAGGCGCCAATCTATTATATTACCCCCCTACTCCCTCTCCCCATACGTACAAATAAAAATTATTATATATAAAAGAATCCTAAAGTCTAATTAGCGGCCTCCTATTTATACTATAGAAATGCCTTTAAATATTCCTAAACCAAATATTTATATAAATAGTTAGAAAGTAAGTAAATAAAATAATACTACTTATAATCTATTTTGAGAAATAAGCCCCCGGGAATTATAATACTTTAATACTTTACTTATAACGTATATACGGGCGTTAAAATAAGGGAATAAATCCTCTCCTACGCGTATTCCTAAATTATTATATATAATCCAACTTATTTATCCGTATAATTTTTATCCTATATTGCTAAAACAATGTTATAGATACTTAAAAACCCCCTTATTTAAGTAAGGGTATCCTATAACCTCCCTACTTCCTTATGAATATAGAATAATAATAAAGCTTTAATATAAATTTTAACATAATTATTAATAATTTATATTTATTAAGAAGGCTATAATACTATCCTCCCTTATAGTAACCCAATTGTAGTTATAGTTTATTATAATTTAATATCGCTATAAATAAAAATTATTGTAGAGGTATAATTATATATAGTTATTAATACGGTATTTTTAAACGAATTCTTCGCTCCTCTAGGTTTATAGAAATTTAATCGTCGTTATTATAAATTTTATTATTATCCGAATCCCCAACCGGTTCGAAGGTAGTACTCTATAGCCATATAACGGTTTTGCCCTTACCTTTAACTTTAGGACAATCCTTTACCTAGTATTAGGAGGAATTATAATTTATATAATAATTTTCTTTCTTCTAATATTATTATTATTTAAAAGTAATAGTTCTAACCCCGGACTATTATATTTCCCTTTTATTTTATCCGTCCTAATAGTACCGATTTATATCGGGTCGCTCTTAAAGTCTAGGCTATAATTTTCTCTATAGAAATTATTCCTATCTAAACGTCGAAGGTATTTTTATAAAACTTCGTAGCTTTTTAGAACGTCCGTTTTTTCTTTTAATCGAAATTTCTAGTCTTTATTAGGGTTACTTATAAAGAAAGTCTATTTCGAATTATTTATCTAATTATTCTAGGCTCTATCGAAGATCTTATTAAAACGGAGAAAATATAATTTAGTAATTTTATTTCAGGCTCATAAAGTTTCGAAGAGTTTTTAAACTACACGTTTATTAGAGTTCGCATCCCCATAGAATAGGCGGATCTTTTATAGTAACGGGTCGGGAGAAGTATAGTTCGTAAACTATTTAATAAAAAAAAGAAGCGTTTTCTAAATAGGAGGTAAAAAGTTAGAAAAGAAGTAATAGATTTAAATTTTTAAATTACTAATAGTAAAGCTATCGATATGGAATTTTACTTCAGTAATATATAGCCAAATATTAAATTTTTCTTTCTCCTTAGAGAATTTAGCGAAATGGGGAAGTATTAGCTTTAATTGGCAAATACTTATAAACTAAGCTTTAAATTCAATTATTTAATCTACGAAGGATTAGATAGCTATAGCGAACTATTATTAATATTCGTTAATAGTTTAGGCCTAAAGGATAGAAGATATAGCGAAGATTAATGATATTCGAAGATTAGGGATATTTATAAAAATTAAGAAATAAATATATAAAGTTAAGAAACACTTATAAGATAAAAAAAAGGATACATATAGTAAACAATTATATAAACGGTCGTAAACTCTTTAGTAAATGAGTAAAAGGTTTAGAGGATTTGAAAAGAGGGTCAATAATATGTTATAAGTTTATTAGGTATATACAGTAATAGGAGTGGAACAAAACTTAAGATTATTAATAAGGAGGAAGTTCTATAAGTTTGAATAGGTTTGTAGAGATATAGCTATATACTGGAATGAATAAGTAGCCTAATTGGCACTGGCCAACTAGAGAGCATGCCTGGGCCTGCAGCCCGGGCACCACATCTGGGCGCCAGCCTATTACATTAAGGTATAGTTAATAACTTCTTTATTTAGCAGACTAACTAAATATTATATATTTAATCGAATTTAATCCTTTCCTTTTTAATCACTATTTCGCTTCTATCCTTATCGTCGTCGTCGTTATCGAATTAGGAGGGGTAGGTAGAATTGAAGGTAAAATTATAAGAAAATTTAACGTTACTACGATAGCGTTTGCAGGTAGTTAGGTTACCCTTATTATTAACTAGATTACCCTCCCTATCGCTAGCCGGCTCTAAGTTAAATTTAGAAGGTATTTCTAAATTAGATATTTATATTACTTTAATACAATTCCTCGCCCCCTTTTCCTCCTCCTCCTCCCTTCCTTCTCGCTAATTAACCTTATCTATCGCTTTAAAACTAGGCCCAATTTTATACTAAGAATAATTACGCCGTATTACCACTACTATAGCGCCGCTACGAATCTTAAAATTACTACGTAAATTAGGGGGTTTTATCCTTAGTACGATTTATTCGTTCTTAAAAGGACCGCCTTATTTTAATAACTTACCTTTAAGTATAATTTTTTCGAAAGGACGTACGCGAAGGTACTAATTTACTATATCCTATATTATTACGTCGATAATTAGAATTTTACTAATAAATAATTCTATTACAGCTACTAAATGTAACTTACTCATCTTTAACGTAAATACTAAAATAGGTAATATTCCTTCTTAATTACCAAGGCTACCGTACCTCTACTTACTTTATTAACTATTTTATAAGTATATAATAAAATATATTAGGCTCTAAACCGCTTAATATATAGGGGTAGCAATTTAATCTACTTCTTGCTAAACTACATTTTAATAAAAGGTATAAAAATAATATAAATCCAGTACAAGAGGTTAAATAAATCTAATACTTAGAAGGCTAATTCTAACGGGCAATCCCTTAATTAATTACAATTAATAAACCATAGCCGTACCTTATTTTTAATACGAATAACCGCCTATTTAAATACTTATAAGTAGTAGTATATATACTAATTATAGGCGTTAACAACTGTAACTAAACTATATTTAAGCGAAATACTATACAATTTAATTAAACTATTAATAGATTCGTTAAAGGAAGTAGTACGCTAACTGTAATTCAAATATTTCGAAGTATAGTAATTTACTTACTTGATTTAGCAAACTAAATACTCCTCCCTAATATACTTCATTAACCATTATTAATTATAACCGAAGGAGTAAATTATTAAAGATTAAACTTTATTAAAGTCCGATAGCAACAAAGTATAAATTATATATTACTATATAAAGAAGAAGCCGGTTCTAATATTAGCAATTTAATTAAGTAAGGCGGGGAAGTTTATTTTAATCCTAACCGCCGTATAAATTCGGCAATAAACAACGCGAACCTCCTAGAAATTAGCGCGGTTAACTTTAGTAAACCGTCGGTTATTATACTCCTCCTCCTCGCTACCGCTACTAGAATTACTAGAATTCGACGAGTTTAATTTAACTTAATACTTCTTAATAACCTTTACAACGTTACAATTAATATACCAAACGCATCGCTATTACTAAATATAGGGGAAATACTTCTTAAGAGCGCTAATTAATACTACGTCGCTATTAATTATAAAGACTTAAAGGGGGTTAATACGTATTTTATTTAAGAAAGTATATATTTATTAGACGAAGAAATTAAACTTATCCTGTATTTTATTATTAAAGACTATTTAAAATACTATTATCGAAATGTTCTCGGGCGTTACGACCACTCTTTATATAAGAAGTATATTATAACGATTTATCTTATACGTAGCATTAATAACTAATATTATTAAGTATCACTTCTAAAATTTTTACTACTAATTAAATACCTAAAAGGTATAATAGGGAATATCCTTATTAAATTCGATTATAATATATACTATTTCTTGTTTCTCCTCTAAGTTCTTAATAAAGGATTATATATCGTTTAACCCCCCGCGACGCGCTCTACGCAATCGGTACCGCCAATTCACGAAATCCTTATCGGTTAAAATAATATCGGGGAACCGGCTTTATACCTACTTACTTATAGTAGCAACTGATAAATTATTATCTAATATCAATTTATTGATCTTAGCCGTCTATTCGTCGGTTACCACTATACGCCTTCAAATAAAGTAGTAAAACAAATTACGTAACGGGCTATAACCTTTATAAATTAAATTAACACTATATATCGAATATTTTTAATTATTATAAGCAAATAACCGTATTTAAATGGCTTTCAGGGAGGCTTTTGTCAGCGGCCTGTGTTGTTCCAATCTCTTGGTAATGCTTTGCTCAATGATGGAGAAGTGGTGGGCTCGATCTTGATAGGGATGCGGGCGTTTCTTTTACTTGTACTTCTAACTGCTCTTACGAATCGTTTTGAGCCCAGATGTTCCGTGATTCGACGTTTAAGGGATATGGTTCAGTGATCCAGCCGCTGAAACGGTGAACCGGCCTTGTTGAGCATTACTATTTCTGGTCTCAGGCATTTCTCATGCCTTTTGAGTGTTAAGTTGGCGACAGACCTTTTACGCTTCTGTGGTGAGCAATGAGGCAAACAAAGGGCCTTATAGATAATGCTTTGCCAACTGCCCATGAGGCATAACACCGAGTCTGCTTGCAGCCGTTGGTGCTCTACAGACTATCATGGTCCCTTTGTTGGACGGTACTTACGTCCCGTCACCTTCGCGAGCAGGGGGCTGGGTAATTGCTTGAGGGTACCTAACGGACCTAGCATACAATAAAGAGCTACCTAGTTTAGAAAATTGACAATGAAGCAGCAATTTTCTTATCTTGTTTTTGTCGATTCGTTTAGGAAGGTCTAACAGTTTATAGATTGAGCCTGCCAAATGTTCTTTCTGCCAATTACAAGGCACACCATTGTAACACCAGGTTGCCCATTCATACCACGATATTCTTCCAAACCATCATACGCAACCGCGCAAAGGCACATTGGTACCTACAGATAGAAATCCTCCACCCATGTCAATGGCCCGTATTGGCCACTATCTCCGCCCAAACTTAACAGGACCCAAATTAACCCACGCATGCTCTCCTGGTGCAACTCCGGGTGGCCCCCGCTCATGGACCTTTTTGTTTTGTTTTTCGCTCCCGCACTTTAAGATTAGGATATCACGAATATGACGCCGGAAGATGACGAAGGTAGCAAAAACGATCATTCCAACGAAACTGCAACTAACAACCAATGCTATCTCCTTTGTGGCGTCCATTTCCCGCCTTATCAGGCGTCTATCTTCGATATACCCTCCATCATCGGTGTCGTGGACTGTTGCTCGGACTCCACGTCATTTAGGACTTCTGGTATTGCTCGGGGTGGATGGCTGCTTTTCGTGAAGGTCGGTGACTTTATAGCGTTTATCACGGGCCGAGGACTGGTGTTTCTTGGGGTGGAAGTAATCGTAGATCCACTGGTTTCGCGTCTCAACTAATTTCTCGACTTGATCCGTGTCGGCAGTGGCTAGAATGACTGTTTCTCATTAGCATTCTGCATCCTGTGATTTCCATTGCTTCCTTGCAACACTAGTCCACGCCTGAGAGCGTCTTATGTTCGTCCTTGGACGTACCCTCAGTGCCAACAATATCATCTCGTGCAGTAATCCGTCGGCGAGGAAAGTAGGTAGTTCCATCCACGACCCGAACAGGAATTCCACGGGGATAGATGTTCCTCGACGTCGTACTAGAGGTAGCCGTAGGCAGGTGGGTCGACTCGGTCGAGTCAGTTCTGGCCTTGATGGCCACTGGAGCTCCTGCCGGAACCACTCCTGGCTTAGGGACAGTCAAAGCCGTAGAGACCGAGGCTCCGAAAAGGACCGTAAGGGCAAAGTGGAGAAAGCGTCGAGAGTGCATTACGAAAAAAGTCCGTAGCGGGATGGGTTTCTTGATGTGTAGGAACCTTCGATCAAGGATGGTTCTTACAAGTGAATCTTGATCAACACAACGGATACTCTTGGGATGGAGACATACCCGGCTTTTAAGTCACTGTGTTTCCTTCGCCCTTGTGAGCCGAGCCGGCGAGTGCGTGGTATTTCGACCGGTTGAAGATGTCCTTTTTCCACTTCAGAAACAATAGGTTGTACGATTGTTATGTCCAAAAGATGCTTTCAAATGCCCATAAAGCATAGCAAATAGCGGTACAGGGATTTTCGTTGTTGGTTCGTCCGGCGCCGCAAAGATCCTTGTCGAAGTGTACGTAGTGGTGATAATACGTATATGTACGAGAATAAACGAAAGTAGTTGACTTGATTAATTAAAGGAGAAAGAAAGGGAAAAAGGGAAGAAGGTAGAACATTCATTATATATACAAAGTGGATCCATATTTAGATCAATAATTATTAATACATATACCTTAATACTTAATACTCCCCTTCGAACTAAATATTGTAAAAGAATAAAGCTATTTACAATTAAATATATCCCTTTCCTTCCTTTAAACAATAAACGTTAGGTATAAGCTAGTAAAATCTAATAGGAAAAAAGGTCTTTGTACTATTAACGATTAAAATAAGAAAAACATCGTTTTTGTGAATAAATATTTATAATTTAGGACAAAATAATCTATAACTTTACGTATACGTTAGATATAATAAAGATAATACCAAATTCGGAATCAATTCAACGAATTAAATAAGATAATAATAAAAAGGACTTTGAAAACCCAAGGTTTAATTAAGAAAATCCTATAAATCGATTTATAAAAAATGCTATACAAATTAATTTCGTAGGATCTAGGAAATCGCGATTCAACCCGTCTAACCGGGCATAGCCCTAGTCAATAATGGGTGACACTATAAAAGGCCTAATATAAAATCCCGAAATATAATAATAATCAAATTATATTAAGACTAAATTAGAAGACGATATAAAGGAAGTATATAATTAAATATAGAATATATAATGTACTAAAACCGCTAAAAGAATATACCTAATAATATAAATAAAATAATCAAGGCGCCCGGGGATTGACGGAGGCCTAAAGCGTTGCGAAACTACTTAAATTTATCAATAGATAATATTTTAATTAATTCATTAACGACCTATTCGCTAGTAGGGATATATTTTAAATTAATCTCTCTGGAAGCGTATTTTCTATAGTAAAAAAATTGCTATATATCGATATATTTAGTCCTAGCGTAAGATTTAGGATCCTTTATTAGGACTAGAGCCTCCTAATTATTATTCTAAATAATTATTACTAATACGGGCTATTCGTCTAATTCGCTTAATAACCGTCGTAATTAAATCACTTCCTTAGTAGCTTATATTTACCTGATCAACTCTATTTCGTAAAATAATAGTACTATAGTAATTTAGCTTTTCGAATTTTAATTAATAACAACGCTCCTAACGTTAAATATATAACTGGAAGTAAACCGGCGTTTTTAAATATTACCTACCTAATTCTTATTAATAAAGCTGATTAAAGGTTTAATAATATTTGTAAAATATCTTAATTCGAATCCGATAATACCCTGTAAATATTCAAAAATCCGCTTTACTACGCCGATATACGCTAAAATAAGTTTAGTTATATAACGATTATAAAAGGATATAACGAAAGTTATATTTAGACGAATATTGAATATAGTATATATTAATAAACCGATAGCGTTAACGTACTAAATTTTAGTTTTATCGTTGGCTTCGAAATCTTCCGGTAATTTTTCAATTTTAAATATTTATATAAACGTTTTAACCTACTACCTTCCCAAATTCCAAATTATTTAATAAACCTTTTTAAATATACCTTCTAAGATAAATAAATAATATAGTTACGCTTATTATAAATAATGGTTATATTTAAATAGAATGAATACAGACTTATATTAAATATTTTAAAGCGCTTACTAAATATATACTTTAAATATTATATTTCATTTTTAATAGGGGCTGTAATAAATATATTATTAACGTATATTACAATATAAATATATCCTTTAATAAAGACCCTATTATCGGCCCTGAGGAGTAAGAAACTAAATAGTTTAAAAAAATAAATAATATATAGTATTAAATTCGTTGCGATTATTTTAAATTATATAATACTTTATTAAAACGGTATACTAATTTTTAATTTTAATTGAATCCGGGGGGTAATTCTATATGAATTTTTTATCTACCGCGCATTCAAAAAATACTATTTAATTGTCTATTTACTCGGATTCTAAATTAAAAGCGGTAATGATAATGAAAATAAATTTATAATTTATAAGTTTAATCACTACCGCAACAATCTTATTATAATTAATTCCTTCTTATTATTGAAAACTTCTAACCACCTATTTAACTTCATATTGTATAATTTCACTGTTAATACCGACTTTAATCTTATATACTTATTTACCGGATAGGATACAGCGTCCGGAGGGTTATAGTACCAAACTCCAAATTTAATTTTCAACTAAAGAATTATATTCCTTATCTATAATTTCTTTCCAATTTAGCTAATAAATATTTTATAACGCTTATATGTAGGATTTTAATTTAAATAAGGCTTTACCGATATTAACGAAGGTACAAAATAACGAAATAGTAATATTAAATGTAAATATTATAAACGGTAGCGGCTATAATTCAGGGTATTAATTAATAATATTATTAATATATTATTAATCGTAAAGGTTTAAAGCGCGTCCAAAAATAATATAATCCTAAATAAATAAGGACGACGGCTTATAAATTTTATTAAAAGCGGGAATAATAATAATAATAGAATCCGACGGCTTAAGTATATCTAGATCTCCCCTTAAATAAGTAGGCGGATTATTAAGGGGAATTACTCCCCCAAATTATAATATTCCTTCAATTTATAATAACTATAGTATTCTTCTAATTTATAATACTCCCCTAGAAAAGACTCTCTCAATTTTTTAATTAAAGGAAATAATTGCCGGTAGGCTACGGGCTTCTACTCCACACTCGCCGGCGACTATATACTTAATAACACGGTCCGCAATGTAAGGAAATTCATTATTAAATATTATATTATTATAAATGAAAATTCGATTATTATTAACTGAAATAATATAATTCCGAGAGCCGTTATAACTAAATAACTGATAAGGGGATCCAACAAAATTAAATTTACCCTAAACACTCTTTCCAGCCAAATAATAAAACCCGGGTAAGCTTAGTACATTTAAATCCAATAAATTAAATTCATCGCTAAACCAAAATTCGTAAAAGGTTTTACTAATAATAGAATTTAGTAAGCGATTTCGTAAATATATAATAAAGTGTACTAAATATAGCTAATATTTGAATAAGAATTTAATTTAATAAAGTAAAACGATAATTTATTTTAATAAAACTATTCGATTAATATTATTTAATAGCCGTATAATATAGTTCTATATATCGATCCCGATATTATTCTTTTAAAGTACTATTAAAATTATCCTCTACTTAATTTAAATATACATTAAGAACTTTATACTCCGTCGTTTTATGGCGGTCGACCTATTTAATACCATAATCGTACAAATCCGACTTATATTTAAAACTGTATATCCAAACGAATTTTATATAGTTATTAATAATAGCGAATTAATAGAGCTCTCTATTTATACTATCCGAAGTAAGCGGGCTGGCAATATTTATATATATTCATTCTAAAAGTCTAATACTATAGCGAATAGTATTAATATAAAGAATTTATTTTAATTGGCTAGGCGTATAGCTTTTATAAAAATAGGCCGCCTTAATAAGTCTTATACCCGTAAATATTATTTATAACGCTTATAAATTCCCCTTATTAAAATAACCGAACCGCCAATACTAAGATTATGAAAGTTTATTAAAAAATAATATACCTTCAAAGTAATATTAGTAGCTATAAAACTGATTATTTAATTAAAGAAATATAACTTTTTAACTTCTAAGGGAAAACCGAAATTGGGTATTAGCAAAGGCGGTAAATCGACTGTCTTTTACTATAATATTATAAGAAATACTAACTTCTCGAAACTAAGATATAAATATAAAGTTATAGGTAGCCGTAGGGTATAAATATATATTAATAAATAATAAATAACTTAGCTTATTATTAAAAACCGTTCGGGCCTTATATATACTAGTATATGAAGGCGTAAACGAAATATTATGTATACCGAAAATTGGAGAGCTATTATAGCAGCGAAGCGAAAAAGAAATAAAACTATTAATAATATAAATAAAATAATTAATAATACCTATATCGAAGATATAAAATTGTTTTAAAGAATTTAAAAAACTATTAATACTATTAATAATGATTAAAGTAATAATAATTAAACTAAGGGAAAACCCCTCAAAAGGCACAATAATAACGAGCAATATATTAAATACCACTATTATATCCAACCGCTCTAAAAAAGATTTAATACCAATTAATTCAATAAATTAACTCTAATAAATAGTCGGATGGATAGAGTCCTAAATACAACGGCATTTAATAAAGGGCTCGTTAGTATTGCTAATAAATAATAAATTGAATTTATCTACATTCAAAGTATTAGGATTAGTATTACCGGCTGACAAATAGTTATATTATTATTAATCAGTAAAGCTTTATTACTATAAGTAAATAATCTTTTAAATTTAGGGTTACTTTACTACGTCCTTCCTTAAACGAAACTTTTTAAATTATTCTAATAATTCTAAATGCTATTTAAAATAACGCTTATGGTTATATTTAAGGTTATTATAAACGCTATAGAGGGCCCAAATAATTGACCGTTTAAATCCCTTTACATTAATTACCTTAATAACGTAAAATATTTGTAAGTTATTATAATTCTTATATTCCAATTCTGAAATTTATATATTCGAAATTACTACGGATAGGGTAATTCTCAAGGTAATAATAACGTCCGCCAACTAAATTGATAGAAAATAATTATTCCTAAAAAGATTCTCTTTAAATTAATAATACCAATTACTTAAACCTTATAAAAAACGTAATATTATTATTATTAGTCTTATATACGCTAACTAACTATATAGTCCACCCAGTAGGTATGCGGTGCTGCTTCCATTCTTAGTCGGTAGGAAAAACCGTACTATAGCCGGTTAAAAACCC